GGAATTTGTTTTTTCTTCTGCAAATTGATCCCAGAGTCTTAGGCATGCTTGCAAGTACTCTACCACTGAGCATCCTAAGCCCTACTTGTGTAACTCTTGAGTTATTTACTTTTGTTTCTTGTTCCATAATGTATGAACAGGCATTAACTCTTTTTTTTTTTTTGAGAATATTTTTATTTTTAATATTTATTTTTTAGTTTTTGGCGGACACAACATCTTTGTTTGTATGTGGTGCATAGGATCGAACCCGGGCCGCACGCATGCCAGGCGAGCGCGCTACCACTTGAGCCACATCCCCAGCCCCAGGCATTAACTCTTAATCTTAACCCTTCTACTTTTTAAAGGCAGTAGGGAACTCCCTCTGTCATTTTCCAGTTCACTAGCAATTCTTTTACAAAAGTTGATAGCATTTATATTTTATTCTGAGCAGTAAATAAATATTCTGCACTTTGCTAATTTTAAAAAGTTGAGAAGCAGTAACCATTGTTAATATTTATGACTGTTAACACTGCTGAGCTTGTAATCTTACAGGTTTTGAAGTAAACTGCCCCTCTGTTTGCAGATAGCATAATCTTTTACACAGGAAATCTAGTGGAGCCCACATTCTTTGTGTCTCATGTCACATATATCTCTGCTATTGAAGAGGAATGTCAAAAGCTTTTCCTTTTTTTAAAACACTTTATCAGTTGCTTGAAACCCTGCCATGTTTTAGTTTTCTAATTTTTCCCCCTGAAATTTGGCTTATCCACTGAGATAACAGGCATGCACCACCAAGTTCAACTGCCTCTCAAGTTGGATAGAGAAACCTTAGGAACACACTGTTTTTTTTTTTTTTTTTCAGACATTTAATTATTTGGTTTATGGTTTGGATTCTGTTATATGTGCCTTTTTGAATCCTACTACTCATTTATACCAGTTGTATATTTGGACCATTATCCATTACTATAACAATTTAATTAGGGTCCTCAGAACCTAGGGCTGCAAACAGATTGCAAATGGGTGGTTCTCAAGCTGTCACTATTTCTGAAAGCCTAATGATATTGCACAATTACCTCTAATTTGGCTATACATGCAAAGTAAAACATCAAATTACTTTATTGTTTGATAGAAACATTTGAGGGGAATAATAGTTATATATATATTATATATATATATATAACTATATATATATATATATATATATATATCATAGATGACCCAAAACAGGAAAATGATTTAACAACTTAGTAAGTGTAATCTTCTTTGATTTAGGCATCTTTCAAAACATGGGGTCATGGGTTAAAAAATATATATAAAAACAACCTTGTGATGAAATTTTGGAAGACACACAGTGATGGCCCAATAGAGCTCCTCCTCCTCCATCATCATCATCATCATCATCAATCATCATCATCATCATCCCAGTACCCAAAAAAAAAAAGATTTAATCAGACTGAATTTTATCAATTTTTATTTTATTTTTTGATACTGGGGATTGAACCCAGAGACAATCAATGAATCACATGTCCATCCCTTTTTTGTATTTATTTAGAGACAGGGTCTCACTGTGTTACTTGGGGCCTCACTGAATTGCTGAGGCTAGTTTTGAACTTAGGATCCTCCTACTTCAGCCTCCCAAGCATCTGGGATTACAGGAATGTGCCACTGCATCTGGCTTTTTTTTTTTTTTTTTAATTGTTGACTTGTGCTTTATTTTCTGAAAATGCTCATTGCTCTTAAGAAACTTAATAGTTACTTTTTTTTTCTTTCCTTAGTACTGGGGATTAAACCCAGGGCCTTGCACATAGTAGGCAAGCATTTTTCCACTGAGCTACACCCTCATAAAAAATCAAGACAGGGTCTCACTGAATTGTTCAGACTGGCCTGGTACTTGTGATCTTCTTGCCTTAGCCTCTTTAGTAGCTGGTATTATAGGTATGAACCACCATGTCCAGATGTTTTTGGTCTCTCTGAATTTGTTGATTCTAGACATTTCATTAAATAGAATCATATATGTTCTTTTATAACTGACTTATTTCACTTAGCATAATCTTTTTGAAAGTTTACCATGTTGTAGCATAAATTAACCTTTTTTTTTTTTTTTTTGGTAGTGGGGCTTGAGCCTGGGGCACTCTACTATTTAGCTATATCTCCTTTTTATTTTGAGATAAGGCCTCTCTAAGTTGCCCAGTCTGGCTTTGAATTTATAATCCTTAGAACTTAGTTTATACAACCTTTACCAGAGGCCATTCATCTTTTGATGAATATTTCCACCTTCTGCTTATTCTCTTTTTTGTGGTTCTGAGGATTGAACTCATGCCCTCATGCATGCTACGCCAGCACTTTACAGTAAGGTACATCCCTAGTTCACCTTTTGCTTTGTTTTTTTCTAAATTATGTTGCCGGGACCATTCATGTACAAATTTACATGTGGTCATATGTTTTCACTTCTCTGTATGTCTAGGAGTGGAACTATTGAGTCATATGGTGACTGTCTTTAGCAATTTGAGAAGCTGTTTTTCCAATGTTACTGCTCCATTTTATATTCCTACTAGAAGTGCATGAGGGTTCCAGTTTCATCACATTCTTGCCAACACATTTTATTTAAGAGACAGGGTCTTCTTATATTGTCCAGATTAGCCTTGAACTCCTGGGCTAAAGTAGTCCTGGGACTACAGGTTCCTACCACCACTTCTGGTGTATTATCTGACTATTTATTATAGCTAGCCTAGCAAATATGAAATGATATCTCATTGTGGTTTTAACTTGCATTTTCTTTTCACTAATGATGTCTAGCTTTCATGTGCATATTGGCTTTTTGCATTTCTTCTTCAGAGAAATATCTGGTTAGATCCTTAGCATGTTTCTTTTTTTCTTTTTTTTTTTTTTTTAAAGAAAGAGTGAGAGAGAGAGAGAGAATTTTAACATTTATTTATTTTTTCTTAGTTCTCGGTGGACACAACATCTTTGTTGGTATGTGGTGCTGCTGAGGATCGAACCCGGGCCGCACGCATGCTAGGCGAGCGCGCTACCGCTTGAGCCACCTCCCCAGCCCCTATTATATTCTTTTTGAGACAGTGTCTTCCTCAGTGCTTAGGGCCTTGCTAAGTTGCTGATGTTGACCTCAAACCTGCAACCTCCTGCTTTAGCCTCCTGAGTTGCTGAGATAATAGGCATGCAGATCTTTTGCTTTCTTGAGTAGTATCTGTTGAAGTACAAATTTTTAATTTTGATGCTTTTGTTGCCACATGTAAGAATTCATTGCCAAATCTAAGTTTGTGAAGATTTACTCCAGTATTTTCTTCTATGAGTGTTATGGGTTTAGGTCTTATATTTAGGTCTTCAATAAATTTTTAATTAATTTTTGTATATGGTATGAGGAAAAAGTTGAACATCATTTATTTGCATGTGGCTCTTTGTCCCAGCACTATTTGTTGAAAAAGATTATTTATTATTGAGTAGTTTTGACACCCTTTATTGACCCACTGACTTTTTTTAACACAATAATCTGTTTTAAAAATTTATTTATTTATTAAACTGTATTCTATTTATATGCAATGCTGAGAATCAAACCTAGTGCCTCACAGTATATACTCTAGGCAAATGCTTTGCCACTGAACCACAACCCTAGCTCCTGACCCACTGACTTCCCCCCATCCCATTACTGGTGATTGAACCTGAACCTAGGGATGCTTCACTGAGTACATCCCCATCCTTTTTTATTTTCTATTTTGAGACTCACTGAGTTACCAAGCCTGGCTTCACATTTGTGATCCTTCTATCTCAGCCTCCAGAGTAGCTAGAGTTGTAGGAGTGTGCTTCTGTACCAGGCTCTTAGAAACTTAAACTTGAATCCCCATTTTTGCTGTCTGTGATCACAGGTGTTCAACTGTAGCAATAGTACTTTTTATTCTATTTATAGATAATTTAAAGTCTGGATATTCTGTCTTTTAGTAATGTGATGGTGTAGATTCTGTGTGGTTTTGTTTGAGCTCCTTCTTGATCTATGTTTAGGTATTTTGAGCAACTCTGTGGAGAAGTTCAGATTCTGGTGACTGCTATTACCTTCGAGATTGAAAGTGCCGTAATTGATGAATAAGTTGTGTTAGTTTGTATAGCATTTTAGACTTCCCATGATTCTTTTCCTGAAGAAGTCTCATATAAAACAGTCATTCATAATGTAGTCAAACTAATCAAAGCATGTTTTGATTGAATGTTTTCATTCATTTTTGAATTGTTAAAGTCATGTTCATTTGTTTTTTCTTAACAGATTTTAAATCTGTGATGACAGAATCTAGGCTATCTTATTTATTATAATCATACTATAAGCATGTTGTGTTGTGTCTGATATGTCATTGTCAGCTAGCATATTGAAAAAGTCAATGAGAGCATTAATTATTTGCATGGTACCATGAGGATTATTGAAGTTTAACATTTATTAAATCTCAAAGAACTAAATGTTGGGGAAGCCAGATGAGATATATATATTTTATATTCTTGAAAATTTTACTGCTTTTGGACTCTATAGCAATATCAGCCAGGTTTTTATCCTGCCTCTGTTGTGGTTCCTTTCCATTTGCTTTCATATCTCAAGTGTTGGCTTTCATTTTTCTTCTGTATGTATTCTTCCCTGGATACTTTAACTTCACTTTCATTACTTCAGTTGCCATCTATCTAAACAGAAACTTATACCTCTATCCTAGATCTCTTTCCTGAGCTCCAGATCCATGTGCCCAGCCCGTTGCTGAATACTTTCACTTTGTATAACCTTAGCCCCTAACTGAATTATTTTCCTATTTCTCCTCAACTCTGATCCTTCTTCAGAGTTTCTTAAATCATTGGATGACTTTATCTCTACCATTACCTCCACTCTCACCACCACCTTCTACTTTTCCCCATCCTGACTGGTGTTATTAAAGACCAGGTTACACTAGTCCAGTCCTACAGTACAGCCAGAGTAATAAATCTAAAATACATATGATGTCACTCTTTGCTTAAAATATTTGCCCTATTCATTTCAGAAAATGGAATCATCAAGACAGATAAAGTATTTGAAGTAATGCTGGCTACAGACCGCTCGCACTATGCAAAATGTAACCCATATATGGATTCTCCACAATCAATAGGTAAGCTTTAGATTTCTGAAAATGTCACATTTTCTTTTACTCTAATTTTTGTAAGACTGGGACACATGTATTTATAATCATATTGCCAACTTGAGTTTTATGACTCGGTAACTCTCATAATCTCAAACAAATCCATTTTAATGAAATTATATATCTTTTTCTGATTTTTCCCCCAATGTATATTGGTAATAAAGAATGAAAAAAAATATTTAGAATTTTTTAATGAAAAAGAAAACTTTTAATGAAAATTTAGTTGTAGCTGAGTACTGTTTTCTCCAGGGGCATTAATGTTGAGTTTTCTTTCATTTTAGCCTTAATTTTTAAAATCAATAATTAAGAAAATAAGTGTAATTAATTTATTAGTGACTTTTCTGCTTTACTTTCCTGAATATTTTGGCTTGTGTTTGTTTTTAGAAAGTTCCATATTTAACTCCTTCTCCTGAAGCAGGTTTTGCTGAACTGCTGAGCCTTGGCAGTGGGCGCCTTTGAGGCTTAGAAGTGCCTCAGGATTCTCTCGGCCAGCTGCCATTCTGTCTTCTTTTGAAGCATGTGACAGTCAGCAAGAAGATCCTGGGGAGCTTCTGAACCCCGAAGGCACCTGCTACCACCGCTCAGTGAAAATTGCTTCAGAGGCAGAGCAGGTAAATAAGTTTTGAGAAAGTAACACTGGAAGAAAAGAAACTAAGAGCCAAAAATGAATATGAATTAACATTAGGTGATAATACAGAAAGTAAATTGGAATGGTTTATTAGTCTCTTAAGCTACTTTGATTATCTAGGATTTGTTTGTTTGTTTGTTTGCAGTGCAGGGTATCAGACCCAGAGCCTTGTGCCTATTAGGCCTAGACAGGAGCTTTACCACTAAGCTTTATCTCTACCCTAGTTATTTTTCAGTTGGTTTAAATTTGAAATAATTTAGTTTTTCAAAATTTTTTGCATATGTATTATATATAGAAGTCTTTTTTTTTTTAAAAAAAAAAAGGGTAAATTTAGCTGGGGGCACAGTGGAACATGCCTGTAATCCCAGGTTCTTGTGAGTTGAGGCAGGAGGATCGAAAGTTCAAAGCCAGCCTCAGCAAAAGCAAGGCACTAAACAACTCAGTGAGACCCTGTCTCTAAATAAAGTATAAAATAAGGCTGTGGCTCAGTAGCCCAGAGCCCTTGAGTTCAATCTCCAGTACCCCCCACCACCAAAAAAGTAAATCTAAAGGAAAAATTAAGTATAAACTCTATCAATTCTCAGCTTACTGAAAAAACAATAAAGAAGCTGGGCACTGTTGTGCATACCTGTAATCCCAGTGGCCCAGGAATCTGAGGTAGGAGGATCTCAAGTTCAAGGACAGTCTCAGCAACTTACTGAGGCCCTAAGCAACTAAGCAAGATCCTGTCTCAAAATAAAAAGGGCTGGGGATGTGACTAAGTGGTTAAGTTCCCCTGGGTTCAATCCCCCCGCCGTACCAAAAAGAAAAGAAACAAACAAAAACAACAACCAAAAAAAAAAAAAAACTACAAAAGAAATAATTTTTAGAAATAACTTTTAGAGGGGCTGTGGCTGTGGCTCAGTGGTAGAGTGCTTGCCTAGTATGTATGAGGCACTGGGTTCGATTATCAGCACCATGTATAAGTAAATGAATAATAAATAAAGGTCTATTCATCTAAAAAAAAATTTTTTTTAAAAAGAAATACTTTTAGAAATAGTGTGATCTCTTTTGCTAGATGAGCCTTTTCTCATGATAATATTATCTGATTTTAACTGCTATGTATCAGTACAAATGTTGGGTTTTGTTTTGCTTATTCTAAAAATAAAAAAGAATTTTTGTGAAAAAGAACGTATGGATGTTAGAAAAGGAACTACATGAAATATTTGGTTATGTTTTCACAACTGAATGTATCAGTGGTTCTCTTCTTGTTTTTGCAGGTTTCCAAGCAACAATCAGTGCTCCACACATGGTAAGTTGACTTTGTTCATTTAGTTACCAATGGATCACATTTTTCTCTGCCATTATTTTCTTAGGGGAAAAAGCTTTAAAAAGTTTTTTTTTTTTTTTAAAGAGTAAGAGAGAGAGAGAGAGAGAAGGAGAAAGAGAGAATTTTTTTAATATTTATTTTTTAGTTTTCGGCAGATACAACATCTTTGTTTGTATGTGGTGCTGAGGATCGAAACCGGGCTGCACGCATGCCAGGCGAGCGCGCTACCACTTGAGCCATATCCCCAGCCCTTTAAAAAGTTTTTAAAAAATGTTTAAATTTACTTTGTCTTCTGTGAATTATGTATTATTGTATTATTGTAATTATTATTTTATTCATGATATCTAAAAGGAGCTCTTCTTGGTAGAATCTTTCATATTAAGTTTTTTGCATCTCTCATTAGTATCTATGACATTCACACTAACTTAACTGGTTATTTAGTGATGAGTTCATTAAGGGAGAGAATAATTGAATAGTACAGTGGGCATGTTCTAGAAATCTCAAGTTGAGTATTTCACATTTTATTTGGAAAAAATCACTACGGAATGGTTAAGTATAGCAACTATGAAGCCGTGTAATCTTGAGAAGGAACTGTTTTAGTGATCTGGCTCTTTTAATCTGTTGGGAATTTTCTTGAGTTTTAAATGTCAGTTGTTTGAATGAGTACTCTGTTGGATTTTGGTAGAGAAAACAATAGCTTTTCTGATTCTCTTCAATTATTTGGGTTGGAGAAGCTTTTTTTTTTTTAATTTTTGCAGTGCTAGGGATCAAACCGAGGACCTGGTGTATGCTGAACAGACTCTCTACCACCACTGAGATACACCCCATCCTTGGAGAAGCTCTTAAATTTTATCCTAAATAAATTTTACATATACATTTATGAACTGATAATAATACTTTAAAAAGTATATTTATTTCTAAAAATTGTATTGAGATGACTTTTTATGACAAAAACACAGAAGCCATTAAAAAAAATAGTGTATTTTTTTTTTTTTAGATTCATGGACCTTTATTTTATTCATTTATTTATATGTGGTGCTGAGAATCGAATCCAGTGTCTTACACATGCTAGGCAAGTGCTCTACCACTGAGTAGAGACTCAGCCCCAAATTAGTGTATTTTTGCAACACAAAAATTTAGGATTTTTGCTGAGTGCAGTTACTCCTACCTATAGCCTCAGCAACTCAGAAGGCAGAGACAGGAGGATTGCAAGTTCATGGTGAGCCTCAGTATCTTAGCAAGACCTTGTCTCAAAATAAGAAATAAAAAGGGCTGCAGATGGGACTGGGGTTGTAGCTCAGCGGTAGATCTCTTGCCTAGCACATGCGAGGCCCTGGGTTCAATCCTCAGCACCACATAAAATTAAATAAATAAAATAAAGGCATTGTGTCCAACTACACCTAAAAAAAAAAAAAAGGAAAGAAAGAAAGAAAGAAATTCTATCCTATTAGAAGTCATTTCTCATCCCCTGCTCTGTACATGTCCTGGCAACCACTAATGTAGTTTCTGTTTCTGAAGATTTTCCAATTCTGGACACTTGATAAAGATGAAATAATACAATATGTGGCCTTTTGTGACTGACTTTTTATATTTAGCTTAATGTTTTCAAATTTATCCATGTTGTAATATATATCATTACTTTGTTCTTTTTATGGCTGAATAATATTCCATTGTGTAGGTATACCACATTTTGTTTATCCACTGATGGATTGTTTCCACGTTTTGATTATTCTGAATAATGCTGCTGTGGACATTCATGTACAAGTTTTTATCTAATTGTATATTTTCATTTCTCTTGGTTGCATACCTAGGAATGAAATTGCTAAGTCATATGTTAACTGTGTTTTAACATCTTGAGGAACTATTCGTCTGTTTCCCAAAGTGGCTATACCATTTTTGCAATCCCACCAGCAATGTATGAGGGTTCCAAATTTTTTCTTCCTTGTCCACATTGTTATTTTCTATATTGTTTATTTTGTCCATCCTACTGACTATGATACAGTATCTTGTGATTTTTATTTGTATTTCCCTAATGATTGGTGTTGACCATCTTTTCATATGATTATTGGCTATTTATCTCATCTTAGAAGTCTATTCAAATCTCTTACTCATTTTTTTCATTTTTAAAAATTTTAACTTGTTATATATAACAGCAGAATATATTACAATTCATATTACACATATAGAGCATAATTTTTCATATCTCTCTACACAAAATAGAGTCACACCATTTGTGTCTTCATACATGTACTTAGGGTAATGATGTCCATCTCATTCCATTGTCTTTCCTACCCCCATGTCTCCTCCCTTTTTCCCCCTTGCCCTATCTAGAGTTCATCTAATCCTCTATTGCCCGCTACTCCACCACCACATTATGAATCAGCATCCTTAAATCAGAGAAAGCATTCGGCATTTGGTTTTTTGGGGATTGGCTGACTTCACTTAGTATTTTATTCTCCAATCTGTCCATTTACCTGCAAATGCCATGATTTTATTCTCTTTTAATGCTGAATAATATTCCTGTGTGTGTGTGTGTGTGTGTGTGTATCACATTTTCTTTATCTACTGAAGGGCATCTAGGTTGGTTCCACAGTTTAGCTATTATGAATTGTGCTGCTATAAACATTGATGTGGCTGTGTCCCTGTAGTATGCTGTTCTCTTATCCATTTTTTAAGTTTGTTGTCTTTGGTTTTTAAAAGATTTAAGATTTTTTAAAATATTGGTAGAATATATGTAGCATGAAATTGATCTTTACCATTTTTTAAGTGTTAAGTAGTATTAAGTATATCGATGTTGTTGTGCAACCGATATTTGTTATCTTGCAAAATGAAAACTCTGTGCCCACTCAAAACAATTCCTCATTTTACCATTCTCCCTATTTTCTTCGTTCCCCAGACTCTGGCAACCACCATTCTATTTTTGGTCTTAATGAATTTGATTACTCTTGGTACTCACATAAGTGCTCATATAAGTGAAATTATACAGTACCCGTCTTTTTAAAATATTTTTTATTTGTCAATGTATCTTTATTTTATTTATTGATATGCAGTGCTGAGAATCGAACCCAGTGCCTCACACATGCTAGGCAAGCGCTCTGCCACTGAGCCCCAGCCCCAGCCCCTTGTCTTTTTATGACTGGCTTATTTCACTTGTATAATATCTTTAATGTCCATCCATGTCATAGCTGGGTCATAATATCTTCCTAAAAAGGATACATTTGTAATCATGCACAGTTTGAATAACCTATGACTTTTAATAAGCAAAACGTATTTATGTGTGTATATAGTCACATAGTGCATCTGAATTTATGTCTGTATATGTTCATATGCAAATAGTAAGCAAACAGTGTCCTTTGGTGTTTGCTAAACCAGAATGGTAGTAGGATATGATAGTATTAATTGTATTGTATAGACAAGCAGTAGTGATCTTTCTTTTTCTTTTTTTTAAACCAGTGCTGGGGATCAAGCTGAGGGCCTGTACCTGCTAGGCATATGCTCTGCTAGGAGCTACACCTCTGGCCATATACTGTTGTGATTTTGTATTATTTATTCCATAAGTCTTAGAGTTATTAAAAGCAGAAAGTGAGGAATCAAAGAGAAATGAATCTGCATATAATGAACCCTAAAGTCACAGGCTTGGAAGTAACTGTAGTCCCTGTGATACTTTCCAAAGTCCTAGTTAAAAAAAAAAAAAAAGTGATGTGCATGGTAGGCAGGATATTGAAAGCAACATGTTAATATGTTAAAACAGCATCCTGGTAGCAGTAAGTACACTGAGCATCAAATTTGGGGCCCTAAATACTATTGCTCAGTAAAAGACTAGAGCTGCTTGGAGAAGTGCCTGACACCAGTAAGTGAGGTTGTACTCAAATGGTAATACATTGATGTTAGAAGGCATAGAAGCAGGAGAGCCTCCAAGAGACCAAATTTAAAACCATTTGAGAATCAAAAAGAATATTGAAGATAACAGGCATAATACCAGTGAAAAATGCAAGACAAGGAAAAAACCAAAAGCTCTTTTTACAGATAAATGCCAGTTAATATATGTGGAAGGAATAAGGGAATTTTACAATCATTATTTTGTAATCATCAGTGTAATAATTGAATTAGACAGAGATCACCAAAGAATCTGAAATCATTAAGAGGAAGACTGTTGGGAATAAAAATATTCAAGTACTATCAAATTACTACTCCACATATTATTTATTAATTACAAAGAGAAAAATATTCTGTGAAAAATAATGTGATCCGTAAGTCACATTTACTCAGTGGTTGAGCCTCACATGTCTAGTAGTGAGATGGCCCAACATCATGCTCTTCCTCGTGTGTTACAGTGGGAGGGTCACACGAGAGCTGTGTAATGGTGATGTTAGAAGTCTTTGATCTGAATCTAACACTCAGGAAATAGACCCATCTCCAATGTGGGGTGTTATATGAAGGGACAACTGAACAGGACTCCTTTAAGGAGTGAATGTTCTGAAGAATTAGTGAAGTGGTGGCAGGTGGAGGAGAGTTGAGGGGAGAGTGTTCTGCATTGACCAATTCAGTGTATGAACCTAGAATAGATTGGGGAAAGATGTCTAAAGAACATGTGAGAGATGATTAAGAAAATTTTTGTGGTGAGTATGTTGGATAATACTGTTTTGCTTTTGGTACTGAGGATTGAAACCAGGGGCACTTTACCACTGACTTACATCCCCAGCACTTTTTATTATTATTTTTCAAGATAGGGTCTCACTAAGTTGCTGAGGCTAGCCTCAAACTCATGATCCTCCTGCCTTAGCATCCCAAGTCTCAGGGATTATAGGCAAGAGCATGATCGAAGGCCTTGGCATTTTAAATTTGAATGGAACTTTTAATAGTAATTTAGCACACTCCCTGTTAAAAAGAAACAAGGGTGGGGCTGTGGCTCATTGGTAGAGCACTTGCCTGGCATGTGTGAGGCACTGGTTTGATTCTCAGCACTGCATATAAATAAATAAAATAAAAATAGGTCAACAACTAAAATATATATACATATACACATATATATGTAATTTATATATAATATATATGTATATAATATATATATGTAAATTATATATATATAAACATCCTGCACAAGTGTAGTACTGAAAAAAAGAAGAGGAAAAAATTCCAGAGTTTCTTTTGAAGTTTTATTGGGGCAGTACTGCCTATAGAATCTTGTACCTTGAGTCTCTTCTGTTTCTTTGATTTCTAGATTCAAGAAAGCTAGTTATAAGAGTTATTTTGGTTTTTGATTTATTGTATTTTCTTATACAATACTTACTATCTAATTAAATAGAAATTGTTTAAGCTTTCAGGGGCACTGAAATAACATTACTTCAATCCTAAATACTTTAATATAAATATCAAGGATTTTAATAACACACTCCACAATGCCATTTTACCTAGTAATGTTTCTTGATATTAAACCCAGTCCAGGTTTATACGTTGCCATGTATTTAAAAATTTTTGGGTTGGTGGGGCGGGCTGGGGTTGTGGCTCAGAGGTAGAGCACTTGTCTAGCATGTGTGAGGCCCTGGGTTCAATCCTAAGCATCACATAAAAATAAAATAAATATATTTAAAAAAAATTTTTTTTTACAATTAATTTGCTCAAATCAGCATCTCAACAGAATCCATACATTGCATATTTTTGTTCTTGTTTTGGTCTTTTTAGTCTCCTAATATTTAAAAAAAATTTTTTTTTGTACTTGTAGATGGACCTCATACCTTTATCTTGTTTATTTTTAAGCGTGCTAAGGATTGAACCCAGTGCCTCACACGTGCTAGGCAAGCAGTCCAGCCCCTGAGCCATAGCCACAGCCTCTAGTCTTTTTAAATTTTAATAGACTCCTTTTTATTTTAAATACCATTTATTTATTAACAAAGCTAGTTTCTCTGTCCTATAGAATTTCCCATATTGTGAACCCTGTTGTTTCCTTGTGATGTTTATGGTATTTAGTTACTTTAAAAAACATTTTTTTAAAAAATTCACTTCTTAAATGGTCTTTTCTGTTGCATCCCATCAAGATCATTTACTGTTTTTTTTTTTGTAATGGAGATTGAACCCAGGGGCACTTATATCCCACCCCTTTTTTATATTTTATTTAGAGACAGGATCTCGCTAGGTTTTTTAGGACCTTGCTAAGATGCTGAGGCTGGCTTTGAACTTGTGATCCTCCTGCCTCAGCCTGCCAAGCCACTGGGATTACAGGTGTGTGCCACTGTGCCCGGCTCCGATCATCTACTTTTAATGATTTGGAATAAGTAGTCTTTAAATTTTTATGTATTGTTGTTAATACAGAGTAAAGTGTACAAATCTTAAGCACATCTTGATGAATGCTGACATGTGTACACCACCCAGTTCAAGATATAGGACAGTAGTGCCTCAGAAAGTTCCCTGTGTCCCTTTCTAGTCAGCACTCAACCCCAAATACAGTAACCAGTATTCTGGCTTTTATCATCTAAAATAGTTGTGTAGAATGGTGAATTCTATTCTATCATTTATTTCAACATTACCTATTTTTTGATAATTTTTTTTTTTAAGAATTGACTATATTTTAGACTTAGAAATGTGGGACTAGCATGTTAATGAACATCTTTCATCTGTTTCAAATGTTACTTTACCTCATTTGCTTTATCATTTGTTTTTTTTCTATGTACCCTCCATATTTATGTATGAAGTATACATATGTATATACATGTGTGTATACACATTTCCCCTTTTTTCTGAATTCTCTGAGAGTAAATAATAGGCATAATGCTACTTAACCTTTAAAAATAAGTATGTTTTTTATATATTCATAGTACATTTGTCAAAATCTGGATTTTTAACATTGATGTGATACTGTTAGCCAATTTACAGACCTTATTTAGATTTTATCTATTATTCAGATAATATACCTTAAAGGAAAAGAAAATTGCAGATTATGAGTTTAATTCGATTGTTTGGTCTTTTTAATTTTCTTTAAAACAACACTGAGGAACAGTTCATCCATCTTGTTTTTATGGCTTTGAAAATTTTTGTGAATACATGCCAGTGAGGTTTCTGTATTTTCTCATAATTCAATATGGATGGGTTATGCATTTTCTCTTGGCATATCTCAGTAGTGATATATCTTAGCAGAGCCATGAGATGTCAATATATCCTTTTTCTGGTGATGTTAACTTTGATTTAGTGTCAACCAGGCTTCTCCACTGAAAGTGGAGGGGATCTAACTGGACGGGATCTAACTCAGTGACAGAGAACTTGCCTAGCATGTACAAGGCTGTGGTTTAGATCCCCAGTCTTGTAAAAATGGGGAAAAAAGGGTGTGTGTGTGGGGGAGAAAATAAAAACAAACTTTTTTTCTGAACCCAATTGTCAAGCTACTTTTTTTTCTTTTTATAATTTATAGGTGAACACTTTGAGACTGTCTTTTTTTGTTGTTGTTGTTAAATGCTAATTCACTAGTTTTAGCATCCATTTACAATTTTTTGCTTAGATCAGTTACTACTGAGATGGTTGCCCAAAGACTTGTTTTCTAAGTTCATCATTTATTCTGTATTTGTTACTTGGAAATAGTTTCTCCTGGTGCTTATACACACATACACACACACACACACACACACACACACACACACACACACATACAAGTATGCATTTATTTATTACTATGGACTATGAATATATATGTGGATGTATATTTTTATCAAACAAGTTTGATAGTCAAGATATTTGTTCCAACTGGATTTAATCATTTTAAACTGTGAAGACACCAGGCATTTAAGGTTGGATTTTGAAATATCATTATTTTCAGTTTTATTCTGGAAAAGTTCTAAAATGTAAATGTATAAAGATATTAGGTTAGGGAAATCTTTATTTCTTGGTTTGGTCCAAGGAATAACCAATATCATTTGGTTTATTTTGTGTGTGTGTGTGTGTGTGTGTGTGTGTGTGTAGTGTTGTGTAACATAAATATATCTTCCAACCCTTCTATTTTACTTCTAGGAATTTAACATATAGACAGATATACTTTATAAGAGTTTTATATTATTATTATATTGTTTTCTTATACTTAGAAAAATTTATCTCTTCTGAAAATAGATTGGAACTAACATATTTTTCTTCATTAGTGTTGTTATAATACTTAAACAGCTGTTTAAGTATTGATGTGAATTGCCTTTCAAAATGTAATGAATGAGGGGCTGAGGCTGTAGCTCAGTGGCAGAGTACTTGCCTAGCATGTGTAAGGCACTGGGTTCAATCCTTAGCACCACATACAAGAAAATGAAACACTTAAAATAAAGGCACGCTGTTTCATCTACAACTACCAAAAAAATGTTTTTAAAAAAGATAATGAATGAAAAATGATTATGTATTTGTCTGTATATTCATAGAGTGAATGTTTTTCCAAGGAATCATAAGAAACTGATAACATTGGCTGCCTTTAGGGAGTAAAATGTTACTTGGGAATGGGATGGGGATTTTTTTTCCCTTGTAATTCCTTTTTTTATCTTTTGACTTTGTATTTTAATTAAATTATTAAATTTTAATAATTCATACAATGAGTATCTAAAATTACTGAAATGTAATAATTCTAATCCGAGTTTTCTTGTATAGAAATTTCTTATGTAGAAATAAGTATATATAAGTATGTTTTCATTATGTTAATTTAAGATAATGGTAGAAAGACTGGTTTAAAAAAAATGGCAACTTTGTATACCATGGTATATAAGAGTCTTGAAAACATTTGGATTGTTTTTTCTTGGCAGCATGCATATGCACTAGAACTTCTATTTGATCAATTACATGAAGGAGCTAAAGCTCTTGATGTAGGATCTGGAAGTGGAATCCTTACTGCATGTTTTGCACGTATGGTAAGAACTTTATTTTTTATTCTGATCCTAACAGAAGTATATTATATGATTATATTTTTTTTTCACCAGTGGATTTGATTTCTTTGCTTTTTGTTCCATTAACATAGCATCTGGAATATGAATCTCTTAGGATTTTTGTTTTTGTTGTTGTTTTTACAAGTAACAGAACATTTAACCAAACTGGCAGAATTGAAAGGAAATTTACTTTGGTTATATAATGGAAAGTTGAGGGGTATATCTGGCTTCTTGTGTGGGTGGATTTAAAAGAAGACCAGATGTAACTGACAATGGGTTTCTCTCTGGTTCTTGCTTTGCCTTTGTTTCCTCCATATGTTAGCTTCATTATCAGATAGTACCCCCAGTGACCCCAAAATGGCAGCTGGGAGCTCCCAAACTACATTTTTCCAAGTTTACATCTGGCAGAAAGGAGTAAAGTCAATTCAGTTTTCAGATACTCCTACAGGTTTATTAGAAATGAAGGTAGAGCTTCTTTTATAATAGGGAAAAAATGCCTTGTTTATGGTTCTTCAGCTTTTAAGGTTTTTTGTTTTGTTTTGTTTTGTTTTGTTTTAATTAGTTATACATGACAGTATAATGTATTTATGCATTTTGATATACATAGATGGGATATAATATTTCATTTTTCTGAGTGTACATGTTGCAGAATCATATTGGTCATGCAGTCACATATTCACATAAAGTAATAATGTCTGTTTTATTCAGTCTTTCCTATCCCCATATCCCCTCCTCTTCTCTCCCATCACTTCCCTCTACCTAATTTAAAGTTGTACTTCAGCTTTTATTACCATATTTTTTCTGATAAATGCCTGTACACAGTGTAAGTTGTGGTTCCTTTAAAGCACCATAAAGAATCATCAGTGCTTAGATAATCAAATCAGATTGGTTATATGAAATCTTGTGGCCAGAGACTAGGTAGAAGATTTGGGTCTTGTTGAAATGAGGATTTATGGATCTGTCTTGAACTAGATTCCGTGTAACTTGCCATAAGTTTATAATCATCAGATCCACTAGAATGTGAGCTCCAGGGAGATGGGAATTTTGTCTGAATTTTTTTTTCTTTTTTTTCTTTTTTTTTAAAGAGAGAGTGAGAGAGGAGAGAGAGAGAGAGAGAGAATTTTTAATATTTATTTTTTAGTTCTCGGCGGACACAACATCTTTGTTGGTATGTGGTGCTGAGGATCGAACCCGGGCCGCACGCATGCCAAGCGAGCGCCCTAAGGCTTGAGCCACATCCCCAGCCCCTGAATTTTTTTTTTCATTGGTGTATCCTAAGCATCTAGAATAGTACTTGGCACATAATGAGATCTTGTATATTTTTCAGATGTTGTTTTGTGGAGTCGTGTTCTTGCTATGAGATATTAGAGATTTTTGTTCAAAAGGTTAGAAATAGCACTTAATTAGTGACGTGTTATCTATACTTAACATGTTAATGGTTTTAAAGGAATATTCATTTTTTAAATATTTTTATTACTTGTTTGTTAATGAACCAAAAAATTTATATGTGATGCTAAGAATTGAACCCAGGGCCTCACACATGCTAGGCAAGTGCTCTATCACTGAGCCACAAACCCAGCCCCAGGAATATTCATTTTTTTAAATATTTATTTTTTAGTTGTAGTTGGACATAATACCTTTATTTCAAGTATTTATTTTTATGAAGTGCTAAGAATCCAACCCAGGGTCTCACATATGCGAGGTGAGCACTATAACGCTGAGCCACAACTCCAGCCCCAGGAATATTCATTTTAAAAGTTTAAATTTGAATACCTTCTTTTAAAATGATGTCAATGTTTTTCACACATGCTAAATAGTGTTTTAAGTGCTTTTTCTGTATTATTTTTCTAATCCTCATATCCTTTATAGGATATATACTCCTTTCTTTCTCATAGTCAAGGAACCTGATTCATAGAATGAGAGGTTTATTTGTTAAAGTTACGTAGTTTTAAGTGGTGAAATGTAGATAAGAACCCAGGTTCCTATCTGACTTCACAGGCTTTGTTCAGTTAAATGTTTTTACAGGTAATATTGATACTCAAGTCCTTTTCATATTTTTATGTGTTTTACACTTTCCACTAAGAGCAGTAGAATCAGGTGCAGGAATCCCTTCTTAGAAAATTTCTATATAAATTTTAATATTTAAAGTTATACTTTTAGGTTAATTTAAGTAAAAATTATTATAGTACCATTAAATATTGGTAGTTAAATCTTACTTCAAAATTCTGGATTTAAAAATTAGATATCCAGCCAGGCACAGTGGCACACACCTGTAATCCCAGCAGCTTGGGAGGCTGAGGCAGGAAGATTACTTTCAAAGCTAGCCTCAGCAACTTATCGAGGCCCTAAGCAACTTAGTGAGACCCTGACTCTAATAAAACATAAAAAAGGTGTGGGGATGTGGCTCAGTGGTTAAGTGCCCCTGGTTTAATCCCTGGTACCAAAAAGAAGAAAAAAAAGAAAAATTTAAATTTTCTAATATTATCAGCTTTTGTAATTTATTCCAGCTTCTTTATTGATTAAATATAATTTCTCAGTGAGGTTCGTAGTTGAGAAAGTTGATGTGACGAATAGTTTATAATAAACTGAATGTTGAATAATCTAATTGGAGGATTAGTTCATTTTTGGTTTCTCAATGCAGATTATGACTTTAAGGAAACATTTCAGCGATACTTTAGAAATACAAATGTTACCCAATGAGCTGTTGAATTATTTTCTCTTTTCTAGGTTGGATGTAATGGAAAAGTCATAGGAATTGATCACATTAAAGAGCTAGTAGATGAATCAATAAATAATGTCAGAAAAGATGATCCAACACTTTTGACTTCAGGGAGAGTACAACTGGTTGGTGGGTATCAGAAAAGTTTTTAATTTCTTTTCCAGAGGATTTTTTTAAAAATACTTTTTTTAGTTGTACATAGATACAATGTATTTATTTATTTTAGGTGGTACTGAATATAAGATCCAGTGACTCACACATGCTAGGCAACTGTTCTACCACCAAGCCACAACCCCAACCCAATATATTCACTTTTCTTAAACTAAGAAAACAATTACTTTTTGGAGATTTTAATTAATTAATTAATTAATTATTTTTCTTTTTTTTTTTAATGAATAGCATTTTATTTTTTTATTTTTTTTAATTGTTGGTTGTTCAAAACATTACATAGTTCTTGATATATCATATTTCATACTTTGATTTGCAATCTGTATACGGGGTAAAAAATGGGAGTTCATAACCAACTTTATTTTTTATTTATAAGTCTTTTTCCTTTTTAAATTTTTTTTAAACCAGGGATTGAACTCGGGGGCATTTAACTCCTGATCCATGTCCCCAGCCCTTGTTTGGGAGAGAGGGGCGGGAAACTGGGGATTGAACTCAGGGGCATTTGACCACTAAGCTACATCCACAGCCCTATTTTGAATTTTATTTAGATACAAGGTCTTGCTAAGTTGCTTAGGACCTCCCCAAGTTGCTGAGGCTGGCTTTGAGATCCTCCTGCCTCAGCCTCCCTACTGCTGGGATTACAGGTGTGTGCTACCGCACCCAGCCTGATTTACAAATCTAAAGACTAGCCCTTTGTTGGTTTATGTATATCATAATCCCCCCCATCATGATGTGCTTTTTTGTCTTATTGGTCCCCTTTTAATAAATAAAAATTCTTAATTTTTATTTATTAAAAGGGGACCAATAAGATGAAGGTAGTAAAACTTACCAGTGTTTCCGGTGCTTTCTTTCTAAGGCTATCTGAAATCATGAAGATAAATCCTTCTATTATTATTTATTATTTTAGCTCTTCCTGTTTGGGTCTTTGATCTTCCTGACATTGATTTTTGTGTATTTGTGAGGGTAGGGATCCAATTATATTATTTTTCATATCAACTATTGCGGTTTCATTTATTCAAAAATCTGTGTTGATTCCCCTACTTAAACCTCCTGTACTGTAATTCTTTATGCCAGGTTTGATGTAAACAGATTTTTGATGCACAACTTGTTTCTCTTTCAGTGGGAGATGGAAGAATGGGATATGCTGCAGAAGCGCCTTACGATGCAATTCATGTTGGAGCTGCAGCCCCAGTTGTGCCACAGGCAGTAAGTTGGGATTTTTTTCCTATTTGTATGTTTTATTCAACTAGAAATCTAAAAGTTTTATATAGAAATGGCTTCTGGATGATGCTCAAAATATGCTGAAACTTTCATTTTGTGCATTTTGTTTACAATTAGCTGAAATTCTTTTTATTTTCCTCTCCATGTGTAAATAGTGGTATACATGACATGAAAATTACTAAACTATAGCATATGGATATCTTATTTGAAGCAGTGTTTAATCCAGGAAAAAACTAGGACAAAAGTAGACTGGGAAAATCCCTCAGGATTCATGACATGATAATCAGTTTGGTGTTTTCTTAAATACCAGACTAGCAAGGTTATGTTTGGCTCAGAAGAGATACCAGAAGATACTCGTCATACATTATATCCTCAAAAAACATATTCTAGAAGTATATTTAATAGAGAAGTGAATCCTATGATAGCATAGCATATATATATGTATGTACATATATGTATATACAGACACATATACATGATAGAAAAAAGAATCTTGGGTTAGATTTACTGAAATACCAGGTTTCTATTACACATAGGTTTTATGTAATTCTTGGTTGGATAACCAGGGTCGAAAGGTTTTATCCACTCTCAATCTAGAAAGGGTTGTTTTGTTTTTTCATGTGTATTTATTTTATTGAATCTAAGGGAACTTTACCACTGAGCTACATCCAGCCCTTTTTTCCTTTCTTTTATTTTTTTTGGTATGGTGCCTGGGATTGAACCCAGGGTTTTATACATGTTTAGCAAGCGCTCTACCAACAGCTATATTCCCAATCCCTTTTTTCTTTTAATACAGGGTTTCAATAAAGCTGGCTTCAAACTTACCATCCACGTGCCTCAGCCTCCTGAGTCAGTGAGATTTACAGGCATATGCCACTGCACTTGTCTCATATTTAGATTATTTAGAAGATGAAAATTGGGGCCAGGGTTGTAGCTTAGTATAGTAGAGTCCTTGCATAGCCTTGCTCTGGTTCCATACCCCACCCCCCCCCAAAAAATGGTGAACACTGGGGGATTTATTCTGGTCATTGATTTACTGCTTACTGACTGAATGACTTTAGGAAAATCACTTAATCTTTCTGGGTATTATCTGTTTAAAAAAAGTACTAAACCAGTGATTTTAACACATTTTAATTGAAATATTTATATATGTAGAAATTATACGTTGTAAATGAATAGTGCAAGAGTTTTAACATGAACAAATGAAAATTTTTTAACTATTCTTTTAATATATTGGCAGCCTCCAGTGAAGAGTTAAAATCTCAAATAGAATTATGTGTAAATGAACGGGATGGGTATAGTGCTCATCTTTCACATTAAGACCTGAAATGATCTTGAAGGACAGTTCTAGATTTAGCTCAATGTGAATTTAATTGTTGTAGCACTTGAAGTAGTATAGGAATCTGTAGACATCTGATTAAACTTAAGAGATGTGCTAAAGGGGCTTTCCAGTTTTAAGTGAGCAGAGTAAAATGTTTATGCTTCCCCTGAAATACCACCTAAAACAACTAGGAAAACAAACAGAAACACAAATTCCATACTCCTTTAAACAGAAGATCATAGCCTGCAATATGGACTCCGTACTGTATGTGATAGAAACAGATGGAGTTATAGCTGACTCAGAAAGGTAGAGGAAGCAGAAACCAAGCAGATTACAGAGAAGACTATCAATGCAGAAGCAGTTTGCTCTGCACAGTACTGAAAAGGTTTAGGAATTGGATCCATTGGGACGTTGGATATCAGAGGAAGCGTAAGTCTGAAAAGAAGGTTTGCAGGGCTGGGGTTGTGGCTCAGCAGTATAATACTCGCCTATTACATGTGAGGCCCTGGGTTCGATCTTTAGCACCACATAAAAATAAATAAAATAAAGGTATTGTGTCCAACTACAACTAAAAAATAAATATTAAAAAAAAGAAGGTTTGCTGCTGAAAACTCTTGAGAAACAGCTCCCAGCCCTAAGTAAGAAATTTCACCAAAACAGAAAAAACATAATTCTATAATTTGGAAAGATCTACCGAAAGCCCCACTAATGAATTTTTAAAATAAGAAAGAAGAACCACAATATCATCACAGATTTCAGAATAAAAAGAAGATTCTAAAAGTTTCCAGAAAAACAAAACCAGATACCTGTTAAGGATTGGCCAAGCAAAAAGACTTCAGACTACAAAATAACAGTGTTAGAATCAACATGTCAGAGAAGCAAACCATCATATTTGGAGCTAAAAATGATTTCCAACCGTGACATCTCTTTGAACCCATTATCACCAAATGAATAGAATAAAAAATGGCTTTAGACTTGGAAAGCTCAATCTGTCTCACATTTTATGCACTATTTCACAAAATGCTTCTGGAGGAAGTGTTTTAATAATTTCATCAAAAGATGAGGAAATGATGGAAGAGAGAGACAGTAGGGAAAACCAAAGAGAGAAAGCCATAGGATCTGAGAAGTAAGAGTATCTTGGTCAGAGGTAATAGGAGTTCCCAGGATTATTGTACAGGCAAGTCCCAGTAGATTTAGACCTTTCTACAGACAAGACCAAAAAAAGCACCTCTTAGAAGTGAAATTTTCATCAAGAAGTTGTTGAAGAATAGAAAGATATAGAGACAGTTACAAATTAAGTAAATGAAAAAGAAAAGACTTCAATTTTAGTTAGAGGGAAAATAAAACTATTATATAAGAAAGGAAGCAATCACTGGGTACCTCATGGCTCAGGAAGAAACTGTATGTACACATAACTCAAAATGGCTTTAAAGAAAAATTATGATTGGTTAAATTGGAGGAAGGAAATAGACTGTATATTAAATCTCAATCCTTATCTAGCATGTATTTTGAAATATAAAGGTAAATACTAGAAGACCAGACTAAAAGGATTTAAAATGACTGGATTTAGGGAATAAGACTGGGTCTGGGGAGAAACCATCTGTGTTTTTACTATAAGTTTTAAAATTTAGTATTTCTTTGATAAACTTAAAATGAAAAAATTAAAATAGACTTTTGTCAACCAAAGTTTAATTGAGGGCACCTTCCCTGGGGTAATTCTATCTAAAGTCAGTCTTCTTTATTGTTTTTGAATAATGGTGATCTGTAAGGCTATAGTCAGATGGTAACATATGATTTAAATATTTTCCACCTAAAGGAGCTTTTCAGTTCTTCCTTGATAGAGATGTCCTCATTCTAATGCAACAGAACTCTAGCCCTACCTGCCCTCCTAATGGTGCCAGTAATCCTAAATTCAGTCGTGTCACTACAGCTTCCTTATCTTTGCTGCAATGATGCCCTAGATTCTACAATAATAGGACAGGATTTCTTGCTGATTTTTCTATACTTAATACCCCCTTTCAACTCACAAAGATCTGAAACAGGCATACAGTCAGAATTTTCGGCTTTGTCCTTGGCCTTCTCAAGAGGCTAGCTCTATTATGTGGTTCAGTTCAGACATGTTGAGCACTGCAGTTGTACCAGGTGCTGTTAGGTGCTGGGCCAGAGGCACAGTCCCTATCCTCAAGGAACTTGTAGTTTAGTAGGGGAGGCTGAGAGGTAAATGAGTGAGTTGTGTCGTGGTAAAACACTCCAAGTATGTATAATTAGCCCCTCTGTATCTGCCAGTTCTGCATTCTCAGATTCAGCCAACCATAGAGAGAAGAGAAAATATTTGGGGAAAATAATGTAAACTGCTAAAAATCAAAACTTGAGTTTGCTGTATCCCAAGTACTATTCTGAATCCATGCAAATGAAGTGGTATGTGGGCCTTGGGTTAGGTATTATAAGTAATTTAGAGATGATTTAAAGTATATGGGAGAAGCTGAGCATGGTGGCACACACCTGCAATCGCAGCTACTTGAGAGGCTAAGTCAGGCCAGCGTGGCAACAAAACCATGTCTCAAAGAAAATATTTTAAAAGTGAGATAAAATATAAGAGAGGTTGTACATCGGTTATATGCAAATACTGTGCCATTTTATATAAGGGGCTTGAGTAATGTGGTTTGATATACATGAGATGTTCTGAAACTAATCCTGAAGGATGCATGCTAAATAAAGCTCACTTCTGCTTTCTGCACACTGAACATTGCTTATAGTGATGTCAAATTACTGTTAACATAAACTCAAGTGCTTATTTTTTTTTTTTTCTTTTAGCTAATAGACCAGTTAAAGCCTGGTGGAAGATTGATATTGCCAGTTGGTCCTGCAGGTGGAAATCAAATGTTGGAGCAGTACGACAAGCTACAAGATGGCAGTGTCAAAATGAAACCTCTTATGGGAGTGATATATGTGCCTTTAACAGATAAAGAGAAGCAGTGGTCCAGGTGGAAGTGATTTTCTCTTCTGCTCTTACTTCTTCCACACATGCAAGGTGAAAGGGTGTGGATTTTAAGACATTAGAGTACAGAAGCAGTTTTTTTGATTGCCACCTTCATGCTACTCCATTAAAACATCAAAAAATCATTACATTAAACGTGAAAAAGTTTGCATGGTCTGCCCTTCTTTTGGTTTATCTCATATCTTTGGAAGCGATGGGTGAGACTTGATTGGCACATGGTGTTTCTTCTTTCTTTTTATTTTTTAAGAGATGTTCAACCCCAGCTCAGTACTTTCTAAGGATATTTTATTCATTATCTGCCATTCTGTTTCTATATGTGTAGATCATTTATACACATATAAAACATATATAGCTGCTGCGTGGGCATGGAAACAGAGGCTTTGGTCTGGAAAAAGAGGACCATCATTTCCTGCCTCATTCACTCTCTGTTGCACTGTTGCAAAAAGAAAGGAGAAAAATATAGTTATCTCAGTTTTTGAAAGTGTCAGAATTCCAGAGAGGACATTCTAAGTTTTGGCTTGATTTCCTTCTTTCATTCAATTCATAGATGTATGAGAGCCTGTGTCTGTTTCACATCCAGCCATCATTTCAGATTCACCATTGAGTGAAGTTTTCACTGTTCTGTATACTAGACCAGCCAATTTTTAAGCTATTCTGGACATATTCCTGGGGAGGGGAAGGATTCGATAGAAGCTGTTCAGTAAATGCCCAAGTCTCACAAACCCACCCAGAGGCCAGCCCCATACAGGGCAACCGTCTTCATGGCATGTGTGAAGTTCATTGTGAAGATAATGCCTGCTTTTGTTCAGTCGTGTTTTTTGGTTTTGTTTGGTTTTGGCATTATTGGGGATTAAACCAAGGACCTCTTGCATGCTAGGCAAACACTCTACCACTGATCCATACTGCCAGCCCCTTTTAAATTTTATTTTGAGACAGGATTTACTGAGTTGCCTGGCTGGCCTTGAACTTTGTAGCTGGGCTACAGACATGCTCCCACAGTAGCTGGCCCTGCTTTTAATTTATGTTACAGAAAAATCTGAATATTCTGTTTGAGGCCAAAACTTTTCCTTCTCTTCACCTTTCTTCCCTCCCTCCTCCCTTTGGTGAGAGGGAATGCAACTAGTACATGGGAGTGCCATTAACTGAATGCTTGAAGTTGAACTCCAGCTTATAAGGAAGGCTTTACATTTTCCTTGTCTTAGAATCTATTTTCTTTTTTTTTTTTTTAAATTTTAATATTTATTTTTTAGTTATTGGCAGACACAACATCTTTGTATGTGGTGCTGAGAATCGAACCCGGGCCGCACGCATGCCAGGCGAGCGCGCTACCACTTGAGCCACATCCCCAGCCCCTAGAATCTATTTTCAGTTGACAAAAATATTCTGTTTTTAAGATAACTGTTTTCTTAGTAAGTAAATGATAATTTAACCTCGGTAGACCTCGATTTGTTTTCTATAAAGAAAGCCATTTTTTTAATGAATGTTTAATTGCAAAAATGATAATGAATCTAACTCAGTTGTTAAAATAGTGTTTTAACTAAATTCAACTTGGCCTTTTCTTAGATATCTTACTAAAAATTATATTTTATCCTCTCCTTTTATAGCTTAGCTGCTTCCTTTGAATTCTGTTCTGGATTATGGCTATTTCTTAGAAAAATAATTTTAAAAACTACCAGTCTTTTTGGTTAGCATCGGATGTAGTTATTAACAGCTAATAACAACCTGCCTTCGCTTTGCTTCAAGTATGTTTAGAAATTTATATAATTGTATAAACATTACCATTGTTTATAAAAGGGACAACTATTTTACTGAAATAACTGAAATTTGATATCAAGTAAAAGATCAGATTTATAAATTTAAAATGTTTCAATTTATAAAGTATTGAGCACATCTGACCTAAAATTTAATGAGGAATGAATTACAAAAAAGCATTTTATCTTTATAACCAGAGGTGGATTTACCATGAAGCTAATGTAGTTGAAGCTCCTGGGCCCTCGCTTGTTAAGGTCCTTCCTGGCCCCAGCCCTAATTCTATATATGTATTTTTTTAAAAAAATACATTTATTTATTTATTTATTTATTTAAAAAACTGCATGTTTTAATTTGGGAAATGAGAAAGTGTTCACAAGCAACCCAGAAGAGGTGCTAGCAAATTCATTCCCCCATCAGTCACACTTGTGGCAGAAGTTCAGGATCTGCAGAATCACTTTGTCCAGTACCTCCTGAGATGCTCTTTCAACTGAGGTATGGTAGTTACTGGCACTCATGACAACGAAGGGGCAGTTTCAAGAGCTCAGACATCCCATCTCAAACAGTCACTCTTGATTTATTTTTAAATGATGCTGCTGAGGATTGAATCCAGTGCCTCACATGCTAGGCAAGTGCTCAGCCGCTGAGCTACAGCCCCAGCCCCTATGTATACACTGTTTTCTTTTTTCTTCATAAAGAGGTTCCCCTCCCCTCCCTTCCCTATCCACTCCTCTCCTTTTCCCTTATGTAGTCTCCCTGTGTTGTCCAGTCTTGCCTCAAATTCAGTTTCCTTCTGCCTCATCCTCCCAAGTAGCTGGGATTACAGATGTATGCCACTGTACTTGACTAAGGACTGACTTCTTCCCCCCCCCTCCCCAGGTAACACATATGTATTTCAATGGCAGATTTTTATATGTTAGTGCTAAGGACATTCTGAATAACATTCATGAATTTAAGTTTTTACCCACTATGGAAGGCACTGAGTTCCAGGACTCTTTCATTCTAACATTGAAGCTTATAGAGCTTATAGTCACATAATCCAAACCAAGACCATGATCAACAGGCAGTTACAGTGTATGGTAGGAAGACTCAGCAGAGAGTAACTGAAGTGTTTAAACCAGGCAGTGAAGTTATCTGAGTTATATTCCAGAAAAACAAGTCTGGCTGTTACATAGAAAGTAAATTGGAAAGGGACAAAACTAGTCAGAAACAGATGTTCATAGCAATTCAGGGGTGAAATGAGATGGCCTGAATCAAGGTAATGGTAGTAAGGATAAAAAGAAGTGAATTGATAGCTACAATATCAACACTATTTTCTAAATGCCCATCTCACATTTGAAAATTGTTACAAAGTTTTTTGGTCAGCTTCTTGCCAGGCTATATGATTTCTGTTGTTTGCTCAGGTTTAATTAATAATTCATCATAGTGTCTTTCTGACACATCACCGGCGTGTCCTCTTCCTTTCCAGGGCTAGTTTCCAGGGCTAGTTGCAGTGCTTGGATGATGGTGAGACCCAATTTTTGCCAAGGAAATATGACAAACTCTATTTTAAAAATAAATTGTACACCTGTAATCCAGTGGCTTGAGAGGCTGAGGCAGAAGGATCACAGGTTCAAAGCCAGCCTCAGCAACTTAGCAAGGGCCTAAGCAACTTAGCAAGAACCCGTCTCACAAAAATTTTTTAAACATAAATTGAAACAACTATAGGCATATTGAATTTTTGTATCAAATAGAGCTCCAAAAGTGAATAGGCTTGTGTCTCCTTATACTTGGAAAAATGTTGCTTGTAATTTTTGGGATACTAATAGAAGGAGAGAGAAATACAGATCTACAGGCCCGTAGATCTAGAATCTGTGGTCATGATGGTAGATATGTAAAAGTTGTGTTAATTACTTAAGGAATTTAATACTTTTTAAATATGCATTTTAAGTAAGTATGTAGGAATCAATATTTTGTTCCTCTCCTGGTAAATGTTTTAATAGTCCCAGAGTCAATGCAATAAGTCCATCTCTGATTTATGAAACTGAGGAATGCATCAAGGTTATCCTTCTGTAATCATTTTATTTATTGATGTCTTCTTAAAGTGCACACATAAATGAAAAAGATGTTGTGATGAATTGTGCTTTTTTGTTTCGTTTGGTGCTGGGGACGGAAACCAGGACCTTATGCATGCTAGGCAAGCACACTGTCACTGAGCTGCAGCCCCATCCCTGAACTGCACATTTCTTAAGATTGAGAGTATAAGTCCTAGAATATATATAGTCCTTTTTTATTTCTCCACATATCCTATAGCATTATGACATTTAAAAAATATTTCTCATAATAACTTCATACAAAGTTTATATTACCTTAGAAAATTCATTAAATTTTTAGGAAACATTCCTAGATTTTGATTGTTATTTCCTGATATACCTTTTTATTTGCTCTTAATAAAGAATAAGACTAGCCTGGCCCAGTGGCACATGCCTGTAATCCCTTTGGCTTGGAAGGCTGAGATAGGAAGATCATGGGTTCAAAGCCAGCCTCAGCAATAGCAAGGCACTGAGCAGCTCAGTGAGACTCTGTCTCTAAATAAAATACAATATAGGGCTGGGGATGTGGCTTGGTGGTTGAGTGTTCCTGATTTCAATCCCCAGTATCCCCCCAAAAAACATTTTTTTTAAAAAGAAAATGACTAGATATTTAGGGTGAAGTAATTTAAACCTAATGTAATAAATTTATACAGTTATTAATATATTTAGCACATATTTGGTTATACTCTTTTTTTCTTTTAATTTTTTTTTTTTTTTTGAGATGGTAGTCACACTGTTGACAAGGCTGGTAGGCTGGTAATGTACTCCAGGCTTTAGTAATCATCCTGCCTCAGCCTCTTGACAGTTGGTAATATAGGCATATACTGCCACACACAGCTCAGTACTTTTTTTTTTTTTTACTGTAAATGACCCATGCATATAAGTCAAATTTCCATAAAGAAATTTATAGCTATGCAGAATTTTTAACATTGAGTTTTTTGTTTTTTGATTTTTTTTTCTGGTGCTGGGGATTGAATCCAGGGCCTTGTGCATGCAAGGCAAGCTCTCTACCAGCTGGGCTATATCCCCAGCCCATTAGGAAAAATTTAATAGCTTAACATTGCATGGATTTTGGAGTATTGGGATATGACATGCTCTGGCAACAAATATTTTGGCTTTTCCTGGTACCCTAAATTTTAAAATTTGGTTCTATAAATCTAATTTCCTTTCCTTTATTAAATAATTTTTTTTAAAGAGAGAGTGAGAGAGAGGGGATATATATATATATATATATATATATATATATGAGAGAGAGAGAGAGAGAGAGAATTTTTTTAATATTTATTTTTCAGTTCTCGGTGGACACAACATCTTTGTTGGTATGTGGTGCTGAGGATCGAACTCGGGTCGCACGCATACCGCTTGAGCCACATCCCCAGCCCTAAATAATTTTTTTTAAAATAAAGAAAATTATTTGGAAACATACTAAGTTATTGCTGGGACCTTAGAATTTATATTATCTTTAATGTCTGTAACAGGTAAATAAAATACAAATTATTTTTTAAAATATAGTATGCTGGGGCTAGGGTTGGGGCTCAGCAGTAGAGTGCTCACCTAGCACGTGGGAGGCCCTGGGTTTGATCCTCAGCACCATATAAAATAAATAAATAAATAAAATAAAGGTTTTTTTATCCAACTTCAACTAAAAAAAAACATATAGTATGTTGAATGAGAGTGTAGTCAGTGGTAGAGCACTTGTCTAGCATGTATGTGGCTTGGGTTCAATATCCAGCACTGAAAAAAAAATCATATTTTATAAAGCACAGTTAATTTATTTTAGTTGGTAAACAGAACAGTTTGCAAGTGAACTTTTTGTATACTATTTTAATGTTAGTATGAATCTTAAGTAAAAGCTGTTTTGTGAGAATTATAAGCTGTTATTAGGACATGTTATAAGAGAGACAGAATTAGTATATCATGTAAAAGATAATCCAATACTGGTCAGGCCCCGTGGCACATGCCTGCAATCCCAGCAACTTGGGAGGCTGAGACAAGAAGAAATTCTTAAAAGTTGAGGTCAATCACAGCAAATTAGCAAGACTCTGTCTCAAAAACAAAAAGGGCTCTGATGTGGTTCAGAGGTTAAGCGCCCTTGGGTTCAGTCCCCACCCCCACAAGTAAATAAAGGCAGCTTATGGGAGTAGTTATTTTTAAGATATTTTCTTGTACTATTTATAAAATTTAGTTTAAAAACCAAATAGACCATTTAGCCTATGAAATATAAACTGTTCAACTTCCCTTCAAATTCATTTTAGCAATTTTTTCAAAACTAAACTTCTGAATGTCCAGAGTCACTGACCATTTATTTCCATTTTTCCACTTGTGCCTTCTGACCCCTCTTCATTTGTTATACATGTGTATGTAAGGGTTTTTTTTCCCTGAATCATTTCAGATGTAATTGCAAAGAGAATGTTTCTTTACCCCCTAAAGTACTTGAGTGTTTAACATTGTTTTTGTCACTCAGATTATTCTCAAATATGAGGTTTTCAGGCTTTTCTTGATGTTTTATTTTTTTACTTTGAATAATTTTATTGAGGTAGAATTTATATACCATTCAATTTATTTTAGACTGCATTTTTATTCCTTCCTTCCTCTCACTGGCAGTTGCTGGCACAGTGCTCCACCTGGCTGAGTGAATGGCTTCTTTTGGAGCTGATAAAGCTGCCTTATGAAGTCAGCTGACAGGTATACTATACCTACAGATGATGCACTTTCTCCCAGAGAGTTTGGGTTGATATTGACCCACTCTGGAATTGCTAACAGACATTCTAAGCAAAAGACCACACTTTTGTCCACTTTTGTGAATGTAACAATAAAAAAATTCTGAATACTCAAATTGTTATTTTATGACAAATAGCATTAGTAAAATGATCCTAGATCTAGAAGTCATAATTTTTCTGAATTTTTTATCTTGAAGGAAGAAATCTATCTTTAGAAGTAAAGATAAAGAACTCAGGCTCTTTAGGCTTTGTACTTCATTTTGGAGTAGCATGAAAGATGTTTGAAATGACTGACTTCCATTTTTGCTTTGACTTGGTCGTGTTTGTGCTTTTATTTCTTTTACTACATTGCTTGGGGATCGGTGCATTTTTCCTGACTTGAGTGTTGTATCTAAACTATTAGAAAGCCAAATTTTATAGTATGTGACTTGTACTTAACCATTTTTGTTCTCTTTTCTCCCCCTAGGGATGAGCTGTAAAGCAACATCAGCTTGACCAGTCTATAATATTGCAGTGGATCGCTCATCTCAGTCCTTAAAGCTTTTTGAAAACCAATAGCATCACAGCTTGTTTTGGACTTTGTTACACTGTTATTTTCAGCATGAAATTTGTGGTTTTGTAGGGTCTTCTAATTCTTCAAAGAGGCACAGAGCGAAATGGTAGAGGAAGGATACAAAGTATAAATCTGTGTGTTATTACTTAACATGCCCACGTTTTACTTTAAAATATTAAAAGAAGGGTTTCTGCAAAATGAAACAGTTAGTTTGTGAATTGATTTTGAGGAGTGAATTTTCTTTTCTTGGACACTTAATTCTATTCTGATATTAATTTATGAGATTTCTTTTGTGCATCAGATAACACCACCATTCACAAGTTAAGATTCTTGGTATTTGGATGTCTGTTAGAGACTACTAAGAAAATAGAGATGAGCTTTCTTTTTAAAGCTTTTGATGTGGTATCATAGAATAGCATGTTGTAGATACAATCAGCTGCTTTGTTACCTTAAAACTAGGCATTGTAAATACTGAAACTTAAGAAGATGGCAGGTAATGTCCTATCAACGCTCAGTTGTTCAGATTGGACATAACTGACATAGTTCCCCCCACCCTTTCTCTCCTCTCCCCATCTCCCTCTCCCTCTCTCTCTAAAACCAATAGGAGACTTGTAGTTCAGTATTGTTTTTTCTGTTTCTAGTTTGCTGCTGATAATGTATATGAATCTAACATGCTGTGTAAGCTGTGTGCTGGATTCTGCACAGCTTATGCAGTGCTGCTTTGCCAAATAAAGTTAAAAGCAAAAGAGGCATTGGTGGTGTTTGACTCTAGAAGGGAGAATGTTAGGTCTACAAGATCCAGAATGTTGATTGAGACCATGAAGGAAAAATTGCTTCTCTGATTTGTGAAATCTGAATAGGTAAATAGCACCAATTCTTCTGTACATTGTGGAATGTGACTATATTTCTTTAGGGCAAGAACCACATTGTATTCACCATTTCTCTCTGTTGGTCTAACCCAGGGCTCATCTTGCAGTATTTAGAAAATAAATGCCAAATCAGTGAGTGGGTGAATGAATTGACTGAATTGTCAGGGAGGAATACAGTGGAGGGTAAACGTACTAAAACCCACCTCTCATATATAGATTTATTAATATAGTGCCTATGAAATGTGTTTCTAAGAAAGTGCCGGCTTTTGGGGATCTTGTTTACATGTTGTAGTTTATAGATATATTTATAAGATCTTGGTTTTCTTAGTGTTCTAGAACTTGAGAAACTATTACAAGCTCTAGAATGAGCAGAACCAGAATGTCCAGCAGTGCCCTCTTGTGTGTAAAGTATGCATACTTTTGCCAAGGAGATCCTGAGTGAGCATGTGACTCACCCTTCCCTACTCTTAAAATGTTTATTACTGCTTTAAAAATGGCTTTTAAAAATTATTCATACATCTTTTCACAAGTGTCTCCTCTTGGCTAAGGCTTTAGACAAGGAATCTAGCATTATTTGATGCCCCAAAATGTAATTTTACCATTGTCTTCGGTTTACTGTTGTCTGTCACTTCTAAGCCCTTGGCTATGGAAACCTTCACGTCCAGGACTCAGTGTTACGTGAGGTGTTTGCTAGTCTATATCATATCCATTATACCTACATTTTATTCTATATAAATTTCTATGTTAGGTTTTGGGGATAGAAAAAGACCCTTACTATCAAGAAGTCTGCAGTCTAATTGCAGAGACAGTTTATGATAAGACAAAACTACTACCCAGATGGTACAGACCAGTGCATTTAAGCATTGTTCAAGCATCTTGGACTTTGTACTTTTAAGAATTAAAATTTCACGGTGTTGAATAAATAGGATGAATTTTGAGGGAGTATTACTAAATAGGTAGCCATGGGAATAGTAGATTTTAACTAGGTCTTAGAACTTTTTTCTTTAAGAGAGCTGAATTATATATGTATGTAGTCAACATATAAGAAATGTCTCGTTAATCTTTAGTCATAATTTGGCATTTTATTTTTCCTTAATAAAAATGATGTATTGTGGAGGGCAACAATGAAAATATTTCAAAAAGTTCCAGTGTAATGAGATATGTTGAAACAAAATTTTGTCTATTTTTCTAACCTTATTAAAGACAAAATTCGCTGCCAAAACTTATGTAATAATTAACTGGGTGCAGTGGCACACACTTTTAATCCTAGTGACTTGGTTGGCTTAGGCAGGAGGGTCACAAGTTTAATGTCAGCCTCAGCAACTTAGCGAGGCTCTACCAAACTTAGTGAGATGCTGTCTGTAAGTAAGAAATAGAAAAAGGACTGGGATGTGGCTCAGTGGTAAAGCACTCCTGAGTTCAATCATCAGTACCAAAAAAAAAAAAAAAGTAATAAAAAGCATGAGTTTCTATTGAGGGCTTTAACTCTTTCCCAGAAGAAAATGACATGTGGAGGAAAATAATTTATTACTATTGTTCATGGAAATATTCAAAATCCCATTGCCCTAATTCTAGAAAATGTCATTGTTTAAAATTTAAAAAGGCAATGAAACTTTTTAAATTGGCTACAATGTACCTATATTAAAGCATCTTAAAAATGCAATGATTCTAAAATAGGATTTTCTTTTGTAATAAATGAATTGTCATGAATTCTTCAAAGCTATTCTTGGTATGTGATTATTAGCCAGGAAATAACTCCTTTTTTGTTTATCTTATTAGAAAGGTAAGCATTTTTTGGTTTTCAATTAAATGTTAACAAATTTTCCAGTAGTTTGGCATGCCACTCAAAGAACTCATGTGAATATGGTAACTAATATTAAAAATGAATAATAAACATGGGAAGTTTTAAAAATAAAGTTCTAAGTGTGGTTCAGTGGACCAATAACTTATTTTAGGTAAGTGCTAAAATTCTTGAGGCATATAATTCATTATTATTCTGCAGCTCACTCTGTCCTTGAACTATATTCAGTAAAACAAGTGAGTTCTGATTGAATTTCACTTGTCTCTGGATTTCTTAGAGCATTTTTCAGAAAGATAACAGTGTTTTGTCCCTGCTATACATTAAAGGGTGGCTCAAATAGAGTGCCAGTGAAACAATCCCTCTTGAAGAAAACTGGCTCAAGAAAGTTTGTGTTTGTATATTGTAATAAAATAAAAAGAAATCAAGTCCAATAATTTTCTTATTATTAATTCTTATACTCTCATTACTACAATGGTAGTTGTTGGTTCCCCCCCCCCTTGGGCTTCATTTTTTTTTAACTGACTTTGTGTTTGGGCCAGGACTCTTTATGAAGTGTCCCCTTGCTTGGTGGGAGAGAAAATTATCACTGCATTCATGGTGCTGTGCTGGGCTAGTGAATCCCTGAGAGTCTGCGATGTTTTCTCTCCTTCCCTTGTTCCCTCCCTTCCTTCTCTTTCAACATGAGAGGACACTCAGGGACCGCTTCATTTGAAGGATTCATTCTCACTTTGGTGGTATCCCAGTAGGATAGGGATCACAGGAAAACCACTTTTTGTCCAAAGGTCAGTTAATGGCAGTGCTGAAGACATTGTGTGAGAGGGCAGCAGTCCAGGGGTGTGGGGTACGTGGGGACCTTTGGGTTTGAATTTCCATACCCTGAATACTTTGTGGATCACATCACATAAAATGATTTGCTGCCACTATTTGTTTATATAGGATTTTTCTCCCCATTGTAACTATCTGATCAGGATTTTGCCTAGAAATTACATTTTAAATCAAAGGGACTGCACATGTGAACACTTATATCAGCTTGAAATTGGTTTTGAAAAAAGATATTTTCTGGGGAAAAGAGCTCTCATTTCTTTAGGACCTTGGCCCCTGTGAGCAATTAGGAGGTGGGACACAGTTGGATAAAGCAAGCCAGGGAGGCACAGGTGGGGATTTGAGAATTTTTAATATTTATTTTTTAGTTTTCGGCAGACACAACATCTTTGTTTGTATGTGGTGCTGAGGATCGAACCCAGGCCGCATGCATGCCAGGCGAGCGAGCGCGCTACCGCTTGAGCCACATCCCCAGCCCCAGGTGGGGATTTGAGCAAAGGTCAGACTTGCTGGGTCATCTACTGATACTAGCTAAAAAAAAAAAAAAGAAAAAAAAAAGTGCCTTCAGACTGGATAGTCCATAGTTCTGATTTCTTTATTCTTCAGTACACAAACCTCTGAATAATAAATACATTTAGAGACAGATAGTTTTCTGAGTCCCTAGTTTCACCTGTGGAACTGTTCTTTAAATGTTAAGAACAACACTTTTTGATTTATTTGAATCATTGGATCTTTAGTCATGTGTATGTACACATGCTATACTCTGCTACACGCCAGTCCCAAAGAAAACACTTTTTAAAAAGACCTTTATATTCAAACTTTCTATTTTTTTTTTTTTTTTGGTAAATGTTACCTTTCCATTAAATTATTTTGAGACATTTCCTAAATTTAATATAACTTTATAAGAAGATGCTTAAGTGAAATAATGTTTATTTCTTTCATGTGTTTTTGCATTTATGCCATACAAGAATAAAAAACTTATATGATTCAAGAATTAAAATAAGTAGTAAAGAAAACACACTGATACCTAAATAAATATAGAAGGCTCGATTCTAACCATTCAATCCATTCATGAAGACATCTAGCCTTATTTTCAATAATTGGTGGTTTCATATTTAGCCACTGAAGTAGCTATAACTTAAAATATTCTCTTTATCTGAAGAATGTACATTTCACTAGGGCAAAAGAGCTAGGAAAATGGGGCCAGGAGCCAAGAAGTTCACAACATGTTTAAAAAGCCAGTGAGATGAGGACATCTATGAACGACATACTAAGCTTTTCCTCTTTATTTGGCTTGAGCGGTTATTTGTCAGAAATTCTCATTCAACTTTAATACAAAAAAAAAAAAAGCTGTAGAAAACAAATTATTAGAGTAGTTCTGCTAGGAAAAAAGTGGTATAATCCCCAAAACAAGATGTGAAATTGGGGATGATGTAATTTAACAGTGACCCTAAATTACAGCAGTTCTAGCTCAGATTCTTGAATACATCATATTAAGGAATGTAATTGATATGATGTTTAGGGAGGATCTGTAGGTAGGCTGCTTGTATTCCAGGCACATGTTTCTGTGTGGTGGGTGAGTTTCCATAGGAGAGATTGAGTTAAAGTCATCAACAAGGTCTGAACAGCCAAAGTGAGGGACGGATGGAAATGTGCATCTCTGGGTTGATGGAAAATATACTAAACAAAACAGTCATCAGTGACTGAAAGAGGGTGTTGATACACATGATGGGGGATTGTGGGGCCAAATCCCAGGTTTCAGAGTCACTCAGAGAAAGATGAAGAAATTCTCTTGTCTTTCTATGGAAAAGACCATATTTGGTACTCAGGTGACATTAAACACATAAATGCTTTTGGAAGGCTGGAGAAGTAGCTGTTGTCTACTTGTACTGAGCATGAAGATAAAGTAAATGTCAAGTTTTTTAGGAAGATGGTTTCAGTGGGCCTTAGGAAACAAGATGTGAAATATAGGGACATGGTGTGAGAAGTGAATTGTAGACATCTTCTTTCCCTTTAAAATTATTTTTGAATTATCTTAAACGCAGAACTCCTTCAATCAGATAATCACAGGTAAGGTGACTTTAAAAAGTCCTATTCAGTCCATCTGTTGATAAAAATACTTTGTACACTTTCCTTTTCCCTAACCCCAAATATTTTATATGACTTTAAGCAAGTCACTTTTCTCCAACCCTCAATTTCCCTTTTTGTAAAATGGGGTTGAAATGATTAAACCCAAACACTATAGCAACTTACAGACTATAATAAATGATTTTCAAAAGGCTTAAGAATAAAATACAATTTATTAAAGGAATATTGTTTATGTAATATGGGACATTATGGGACATCTTAAGTAAATCAGTACTATAGCAATCCTAAATTATTATTAATTTCTACATGTATAAAAGGTTTGGTGATAGATGCATGCGTTGTCAGTTTTATTGGGTATGGCTATAGGTGACGTCCTTCTGTATAAAGACACTGCACAGCATCACAGGGAGTACACACATATTAAATTCATTCACACAGTCCATTTCTCTTAAACTGCCACTGAAATTTAAATCATTGCTGAACTCTAAACATTCTACAAAAACATGAGTTTCTCAGGAAACAAAAATGATTATTGGTTTTTCTAGATCTTTCCACTTGCTAATGTGTTTTGATATATTTCCCACCCAAATTAAGTCCTTTTTAAAAATAAACTACTAGACTCTAGAGTATTTTTCAAGTGTTTTAAAAGATTTGTCTTATGGTAAAAAATATATATATATATAAATAGGAACATCATGTAAGCATAGACAGGCACTGCATCACACATTCCTCTCAGTGGGATAATTATTCTAGAGTGTATCTAATCCTGGCATTAAATGTGTATGAAATAATTTGTCTTTAAATACCTACAGATTTAGAAAGGAAAGATAGAATGCCAGTTTTCTCTAAGGATGAATTTGTGCAAACTGCTTTCTACTCTGGAACACATGAGCCTGGCCCTAGCTGACTGACGTCATAATAATATTGGATAGCATTTTCAAAATGGAAGAAAAAAACCTGGCTTGTTCCATTAGATCAAATGACCTGCTGTCACTTAAACATGGTGACATTTTTATAAAAGCTGTACCCCCAAATCCATTTAACATCCTGCTGTTTTTCTTTCATCAAAAAATACTCATCTTGAAAACTGGTGACTGTATGAATGGGCTACTGTGCTGGACCATGGAACAGTGGTGAGCAGAAATCACAAAGTATTAATTATCCACCTGTTGATAAAAATACTTTGTACACAATGTTTAGAGTTGACCTCGGGTAAGTTTCTGTTAATTTTTTTGGCCACCAGAATTACTTCCACCTTGATTTCCTATCTCACTTCATAACCATCTTAGAGGTGTTTTTAATCCAAAGTCTAGCTTTTTTTTTTCCCCTCTGAAGATCAGCCTAAGATCAACTACATTACATGATGTCAAAGGCATTGGGGAGAACCCACCTTCCTCTCTCCTCAGGCTTCATCTGTTCTAAAGATTTGTAAATTGTATATATATCTGCCATAGGTAACATTTCATTGAGAGTATAAACTTCCTTGAAATCCATCCTAAGGAACATGTTTTTCAGAGTAAAAGAAAAATGGGGCATTGGAGATTAAAGAAGACTAGCGCCACAGGAAGCTATTCCTAAAGTGACCCAGTACTATCAGGGCCCAGTGGGCCACATCTCAAAAGCTAAGGGTGAATGCCACCACTCTGAGGCCATCTTTGGGGATACTGACAAAACTGCCTCAGCTGACTACAAATTTCTATTTCTAGGAACAATTTAGTAAATCAGAATTAGATCTGTAAAAGTCTTTAATCACATGAATTTCTCTCTATTGAAATATTTCATGTACTTAAGGACAATCTTTCTATAGTAAATAAAGGTTTGTGATTTGCCAATTAAAAACAAAAGAGGCTGTAAATACTAGAACCTAATAAAAGAATAAATTGTACATGAAACACATTCTTCCCCTAAGTGCTTACATTTGCTACAGATACATCCCATTTATGAGGTAATCAGATTCCTCAGATGTAATGGGACGAGCTTTCTTCAGTTTCTGTTTCACCAGGCGCAGCCGGCAAGCAACCATGAGAAGCAGCAGAGCAGTGATGGCCAAACCCAATGCCAGGGGTAGCACTGCACCTATGGAGGGTTAGAAACAAACAGGGCGATGAGCAACAGCGATAGCTACTGTTGATAGCACAATGAGTGCTTTGCATGCACTAGTTAATCTGAACAGTTCAAGTTAGTATTGCCATCATTCTGCACATTAACTAAGGTGCACAGAGGTTAAGTAATTTTTCCTAAGAGTGTTTGACTTGTATGCTGAGGATCTATCGATCTAAGTCTCAAATCCAGACTTTTTAACTACATCTACCAGGTTACTACTAAATCTGTATCTTTGGTTACAGACATTGCAGTAAGGTCACCCTCAAATCCCCCTGTGAGAGATATTCCAATTATAGAAAATGTTTTCACATATACATTTCACACATGATCATTCCCTCTTCAGCATGGATTAACTTCTACTTTCTGGTTCTGGTTAGGGCTTTCCTGAGTCAAGGGAATTTACCCTCAGCTAGGTAGAACTGTTTTTTTTTTTTTTTCTTGGTACTGGGGATTGAACATAGGGATTCTCTACCACTGAGCTAAATCCCATGTCCTTTTTCAATCTTTATTTTGAGACAGGGTCTTGCTAAATTGCTGAGGTTGGCTTCGGATTTGTGATCCTCCTGCTTTAACCTTTCAAATCTCTGGGATTATTGGTATATGCCTCTGTGCCCAGTTAAATCAGTAGAACCTTGTTGAAAACTAACTTCAAAATACTAATATAGGGGCTGGTGTTGTAGCAAAATGGTAGAGCGTTTCCCTAGTGCGTGTGAAGCACGGGATTCAATCCCCAGTGTCACATAAAAAGAAAGAAAATAAAGGTTAAAAAAATTCTTTAAAAAATGCTAATGTAACTTTAGTTATGAGTAAGTAAGGAAAACATCTCTTTAGTTTTTCCCATGTAACTGGAGTAAGACACCACACTATAAGCAGGTTTTAAAGACCTGCAGAGTCTGGAAGGGGCACAGTATGCCCCAGATCAGGCTTCTGTTCAAGCCCAGTATGCTCTATTCCTAGTCTGCTGTGCTCTGCAGTCAAGCCAGGGTTGGAGATGACATGGGAGAACTATTTTTAGCTGCACTGTTTTGCAACAGGTGGAACTAGAGACACAAACATCTTCATGGTGTAAGCTGATTCCGTAACATTTTTTTCATCATTTATTCATTCATTCTGTATTAATTGATAGCTCTCCATGTGCCAGACATGAAATTAAGTGCTGAAAATAAAATAAAAGCATTTTTTTCTTTTTGGTACTGGGGGTTCAAACTTGCTATCCTAAGTCACTGGGATCACAGGAGTCCCCTCCCCATGCCCACCTAGCAATTTTTGGTAACTAAAAATAAATAAAACTATCTCCCAAAGATAAGCTAATCTAAGAATGCCAGCTTTATAACTCAAATCATTGAATTCTTACAATTACCACATGTGCTGGTACTATTATTTTATCCATTTTATAAATGAGGGAACTAAGGCATCAAGAATTAAATGACTTGTCTAATATTGCTTATTAAAGTGGGGAGCTAGAATACCACCCCAGACAGGACAACTCTAGAGCCTACAGTTTTCACCACTGTGGTACCCACTTTTCCAAAAGGGAAATAAAACTGTTTCTGAATTATATTAAGTCTTTATAGACAGATATATAAATGAAAAAAAGAAATCCATAATAAAATATTAAAGTTACCATGACAAAATTACACATGAAGTACTGATGTAAAAAGGATTAATCCATCTGTCTGGTTGGTAAGATTTTTGATGTAGTGACTTGGACATAATGATGGAGCTTGTCTGAGGTGGGTAAGGGAGGAAATTTTGGTTTTTGACATTTTCAGGTTGACATGCCTAGATATGAGGTCATCTGGCTAAAACATCTGTCACCCCGTTAATTGCCTGTATTGATTCAGCTGATCTGGCTGGCTAGGTGGCTGTCCCCTTCCTCCCTCATTGCTTCCAAAGCTTCAGGCTCAGTCTAAGAGGACAACCTTCCCCAATAGAGGAGGATTGTCCTTCAGTCAAGGGTATATGAGTAGCTGTGCTCCCCTGCTAGACCAAACAAACTCTCAGATTGACATGCCTATAGGTGATCCAGATGGAATTTTCTCCTGGCTCTTGGTTGATCTGGGTCTAAATATGTGAAAACCTTTGGCATGAAGATGGAAACCTCAGCCATGAAACTGGATGAGATTGCCAGTGAGCAAGGAAGAAAGGAAGGCCAGCAGCAAGGTCTTGGGAAACTCCCACATCTTGGGGGAAGACAGAAGAAGAACAACACGAAGAATTACTAAAGGACGGGTTGGAGAAGTAGCATGACAACTGAGAGGGAAGGGTATTGGGAGCTGAGGGAAAAGACGAGTCCACAAAGAAGGGCTCCGTTGGGTCAAATGCTACGAGAGGTCAAGTGAGGCGAAGCCCAGAGAATCCGCTGGATTAGCAGCTTGTAATTCACTCCAGGAGTCTGTAGACTGAGGGATGCTATTTTTTTTTTTTTAATAAATGGAGAGACTCTGAATGTGTTTTCAGACTTGTTTGGAGAAACATATTAAAAGTACCAAGAATTACTAGATGATGGAGAAACACACTTGAGGAAAGAAGGGATACATTAAGAAAGGGGAGAGACTGGCCTTGGAAGGGAGGGACACCTCTTCCTTCAGTGCTGGAGGAAAAGGAAGGAGGGGGATGCCATCATAAGAGTTGCTGTATTTAGGGGTTGGTGGCTGAGGGAGCTCACTTCAATAGCCTTGATTTTTCTGGGCCTAAAACTAGCCCCAGGTATAGCCAGCCTCCTCCTGAAGTCAGAAACTTAGAACTGGTGCATGCTAATAAGGGGTTTTCAACCTCTAGGGTTGTTGCAGAATCCTGAGTAAACCTGAACACGATTCTCAAGAGCAGTCTGTGTCTGGCTGCAGGAGGAGAGGATGTGCAAGTTGCTTTAGTAATTGTTAATTACCAAATTTTTGGCCAGTGTTCACCCAGAGAATGATGGGGGATGAAGCCCTCTGTGGTAGGGTTAGGGTACAGCTCAGTGGTGAAGCACTCACCTAGCATGCCCAAGGCTCTGGGTTCCAACCCCAGAACAGCAAAACAAAACAGAACAACAAACACAACAATAAAAAACCCACAGGAATATGATTAGAGGAGGCATCTGCGGGTGTCAAGAATCTGTCTCATTCCTCCATGATAAGTGTTCGGGGCTGTGTTTTTGTAATGATTTGGATCTGAGGTGTTCCCTCAAAGCTCCTGTGTTAATGCAGGAATATTCAGAGATAAAAGGACTGGATGGTGAGAGTTGTGATCTAATCAGTCCATCTGAGTTTGAATGGACTGGCTGGGTGGTAACTAGGGAGGTGGGGCATGGGTAGAGAAGTTGTGTCACTGGTGGTGTGTGCCTTCGAAGGGCTGCTTTTCCCTGTGGCCCTTTCCCTTCTCTCTGCTTCTTGGTCAACATGTCCTGAGTAGCTTCTTCTGCTATGCACTTCTGTCATGGGTCCATATTAATGGAGGCATCCCACCATGGACTAAACCTCTGAGACCATGTGCCAAAATAAACTTTCTCTTCCTTTAAGTGGTTCTTATCAGATATTTTGGTCAGAGCAGTCAAAAGCAAATTAAGTCAGTCTCCTAATGGCCACTTCTATGGAAGTAGTTTTGCAAGAGTTGAGTGATGTGTCAGTTCTCCCCCTACTCCATCTTCCTGTACGTGCTACACTAATTTGGTTATATTACAAAGGAACAGGGAAAAAAAGAGACTATGGTCAATGCCCACAGAAATCTCAAGAATCACAAACCATTTTCTATAAGCTAGAACAACACCCAGTCTCAGTTCTGCATTTTATGGGCAGAAAAACAAAGAGGCTTCCTGACATCAAGATGTGTCAGACTTGTTAAAAACTGAGCATGAATGCATAGGCTAAAACATAAGTGAGCTGAAGGTGAAGGTCCCAACTCCAACTTTGGGGTGCCAAGTTCACTACCTTAGTAAAACACAGACATACAATCAAGGAAAATATCCTATTCACCAAGTCAGACAGGAGGTTGCTGAACTGTCAAATCTGATCCGTATTTAACGCTTTGATGACAAGGAAAATTAAATCCCCCACAAGTTGGTACTTCCTAGAATATTGAAAGTAAATCTCAATGTGTGGGTTTTTTTTTTTTGGGGGGGGGAGGGAGGGTGTTTGGTTTGGTTTGGTTTTGGCCTTGGGGTTGAACCCAGAAGTACTGTTTCACTGAGCTACATCTCCAGTTTCTTCCTCTTCCTCCTTTTCTTTCTTCTTCTTCTTCTTCCTCTTCCTCCTCCTCCTCTTCTTCTTCTTCCTCTTCTTCTTTTTCCGCTTCTTCTGCTTCTTCTTCTGCTTCCTCTGCTTCTTCTTCTTCTACTACTTCTTCTTCCTCTTCTTCTTCTGCTTCCTCTGCTGCTTCTTCTGCTTCCTCCTCCTCCTCCTCCTCCTCCTCCTCCTCCTCTTCTTCTTCTTTTTCTTCCGCTTTATCTTCTGCTTCTTCTTCTTCTTCCTCCTCCTCCTCTTCCTCCTCCTCCTCCTCCTCTTCTTCTTCTCCTTCTCCTTCTTCCTCTGCTTCTGCTTCTTCACTTCTGCTTCTGCTTCTTCTACTTCTGCTTCTGCTTCTTCTGCTTCTTCTTCTGCTTCTTCTTCTGCTGCTGCTTCTTCTACTTCTGCTTCTGCTTCTTCTTCTGCTTCTGCTTTCTTCTGCTTCTGCTTCTTCAGCTTCGGCTTATTCAGCTTCTGCTGCTTCTGCTTCTTTTGCTTCTTCTTCTTCTTCTTCTTCTTCTTCTTCTTCTTCTTCTTCTTCTTCTGCTTTCTTCTGCTTCTGCTTCTTCTGCTTCTGCTTATTCAGCTTCTTCTGCTTCTGCTTATTCAGCTTCTTCTGCTTCTGCTGCTTCTTCTTCTGCTTCTGCTTCTTCTTCTGCTGCTGCTTCTGTTTCTTCTACTTATTCTGCTTCTTCTGCTTCTGCTTCTTCTGCTTCTGCTTTCTTCTGCTTATTCTGCTTCTTCTGCTTCTGCTTATTCAGTTCCTTCTGCTTCTGTTTCTTCTGCTTCTTCTGCTTCTTCTTCTTCTGCTGCTTTCTTCTGCTTCTGCTTCTTCTGCTTCTTCTGCTTCTGCTTATTCAGCTCCTGCTGCTTCTGCTTTTTCTTCTGCTGCTGCTTCTTCTGCTGCTTCTGCTTCTGCTGCTTCTGCTTCTTCTTCTGCTGCTGCTTCTGTTTCTTCTACTTATTCTGCTTCTTCTGCTTCTGCTTCTGCTTCTGTTTCTTCTGCTTATTCTGCTTCTGCTTATTCTGCTTCTTCTGCTTCTGCTTATTCAGTTCCTTCTGCTTCTGCTTCTTCTGCTTCTGCTTCTTCTGCTTCTGCTTCTTCTGCTTCTGCTTATTCAGCTCCTTCTGCTTCTGCTTTTTCTTCTGCTGCTGCTTCTTCTGCTGCTTCTGCTTCTTCTGCTTCTGCTTCTTCTTCTGCTTCTTCTGCTTCTGCTTCTTCTGCTTCTTCTTCTGCTGCTTCTGCTTCTTTTGCTTCTGCTTCTTCTGCTTCTGCTTTTTCTTCTGCTGCTGCTTCTTCTGCTTCTTCTTCTTCTGCTGCTTCTGCTGCTTCTGATTCTGATTTTGATTCTGCTTCTGCTGCTCTTCCTCCTCCTCCTCCTCCTCTTACCCAGATTGGTCTAGAACTTGTGATCCTCCTGTGTCCGTTTTCTAAGTTGCTGTGATTACAGATATGTGCTACTTGTTTTTGCTTTTGACCATTTGATTCTTAGTTGAATTCACAAGTGTGCACCATAGCACCCAGGTATTAACCACTTTAAAATAATTATTTGGCATAGTTTCTTCAATACTGTCAGTTTGGGCAATTTGAGATTTAAAATTTTCCAATCTTTTCTAAAACATACCATGATAGAATTCTTGGTAGCCAGCTAAGGTGATGAATTATATACTTGAATTATGTATTCTGCTCATATGAATGGGAACAGCATTTGAAATATCTAACCCATAGAATGGACAGCAATCAGTTACAACTAAGCCTCTGGATACATCTGGCTGTGGAATAAGAAGAAAGTTGGTATCCTTCTAAATGTTGATGAGACTCTTTCATTCAAATTTCTTGGGATAGGCTAAGTTCAGTAGGCCAGTAGACCTGACTGAAGTTGCATCCAGGCACTTGACATCTGGATTATTCTCAGGCAGATATTGCTTAAAAATTATATATATATATATATTTGTTTATTTTATTCTCCTGAATCTCTTCCTACTAGTTTATAGAAATTAGGACTAAAACCTGCCTTTCTACAGGACTCTGTCCAAAGTGTCTTTTTTCTAATTAAAAACAATCAAGAGTATGGAATTATGGTATTTTTCACTTAGTTCATTTTCCTTCCACCTCCTATATATACTTCCCTGTTCCTGAAGTCTTCTGTCGTTGTTGCTGGAGCACTGGGAGAGAGCATGAGGTCTCTTCATTCTTTTTATATTACAAATAACTCAATAATAGCCATGATTTTATATTTGGCTCATCACCTGAGCCAAGAAGTATGCTAAATGCCCTATATAAATTGTCCCATTAATTCTCCTAATACCCTGTGAGGCAGGCATAGCTACTGTCCTCATCTCACCAATGAGGAAATTGTGATCCAGAGAGATAAGAACCTGCCCAAGGTCACCAAGTTCAGTGGTGAAGCCAGAATTTGAACAGTGGCATCCAAGCATAGAGTCTAAGTTCTTGGCTACTATGCCACAAGTATGACCATTCCTACAGACTGTCACCCTAGAAGAATCTATGAAAGAGAAAGCTGAGGTCCAGAGACAGTGAGCTGCTTCAAGAGCACCAAGAAGCATTGTGACACAGAAGATGAGGAGGCACTTCTGGTTCACAAATCAGCATTCCTGCCTTGAACTCTCTCGGCTTCATCTCACAGTCTCCATTTGGGCTCATGGAGTTCTACAGGTGTGTCGACTCTGCAGTGCATTTTCAAAGGCACCCACTTACCTGTTTCTGGGGCTGGGTGTTCTCCTCTGCCTTGTTCACTCTTGGATTCAAAAATATAGTTTTCCTCCTTTCTGTTGTTGCTTGAGGAATGTCTACCTACAGAAAATCAATAGAACATATTGTGAGGATATATCAGAAACTTTAGGAAACAGCCTTATTTATTTTTAAAGATGGAATTAGACAAAGGAATTGCAGGATTTATTTCACTAATAATCATAGGCCTATGTTTGATACTAAAACACTGGATATCTAATGTGACCAGTTTAATGAAGTAGAGTGTGTGACTAGTTAAAAGACATGGTCAGTCAAAGAGGTAGAAACACACTGGACCAGAACCTCCACCATCACCTCTGATGAATGAAAAGATCTCACCTGGAAAAGTCCAGGACAGTCTCTGGACATCATACCTGGGAAGTGGAAACAGTCAAAAAAAGGTTTTCTTGTAAAAATTAAGAATGAGCCGCTGGGCACTATGAGGCACATCTCTAATCCCTGCTACTTGGGAAGTTGAGACAGGAGGTTTGAAAGTTTGAAGCCAGACTCAGCAAATTAGCCAGATCCTGTCTCAAAATGTAAAAATAAAAAAAGGGCTGACCCTTATTTTAGAGGCAGAACACTCTACTCCTGGGTTCTATACCTAGTACTGGGGATTGGAGGGAAGCACACGTAGGTATTTGGCCATGCTATGGCACTATTTCACTGTGACCTTGCTGGGCAGGTAATAATAACTCATTTTTTTTTTCTCTTAGGCTCAGGCTTAGTTTCCTATCAAGGTTCGCACAAGTAGTGAATGGGGCATAGGGCAGACAGTAAAGCTCACTGGTATCTGGCTGCTTGTTGGTGAACACCAGAACTTCTGGTTTAGTGATATATTATTTAACTTCACTATTCAGTTATTGAGGGAAAATATCAAGGAAGGACAAATCTCAGGATTTTTACCATAGGTTCTGATAGAACCAGGCTGTGTTATTTTCTCATTCCCCATCTAATAATTGGCAGCATTTGTGTGTTTATTATATTGACAGTTTAATACTTAACAAGTTGATGAGACATTCTCATACTGTGTGTGATTTTAAGTGAGATTTTTTTTATTATGCTTTTGTTTTGTTTTATTTTATTCGCTGCTGGGGTTGAACCCAGGGGAGCTATTCCACTGATCTCCATCCCTGCCCCTACCCCTTTTTATTTTTTTTATTTTGAAACGGGGCTTCATTAGTTGCTGAGAACCTTGCCAAGCAGCTGTGGCTGGCCTTGAACTTGCAATCTTCCTGCGTTGGCCTCCCAAATCACAGGCATTACAGGCACATACCACTATGCCCAGCAAGTGCTATGCTTAATGGCAATAAATTAGAAATGTTCTTCCTACTTGCAGAATTTTATTGAGAAATAATAATTTTAAAGCTTTATGCTTACATAGAATCAACAGAAATGGTCATAACTCCTTGAATTATTATTGAGGCAATTTAAAGGTAGTATATAAAATTCTTTAGTAACTTGTCCTGAGCAATCTTTGTGAATTTAGCAATTATCATGAAATCAATTGGATAATGCAAAATTGTAGGTCAGTGAAGATATCTACTAGAGCCTAAAAGCAGTGAGTTAAAAATGATCATTGCATCCCACGTTGATGCTGTTAAACAGAAGGGACAACAATCACTTAGTTCTTTAAGGCACCCTTAACACTCCCTTCACCCTGTCAGTCACCATACCCTGCAGACATTTCCTTCTCACCTCGACAGCCCTGACTGTGGCCCTTCTCTGTCCTTGGTCTTTAACACCTTTGGTTGGAGCACTCCAGGCCCTTCCTCCCACATTTCTGCTTTCAGACACTCCTCCTGGAGTGTGTCTGCAAGTGTGACCCAGCAGAGTGACACTGTGAGGTTGGCACTTTGCTGCTCTTGCAAGGCCACTGTAGGCCACCATGTTCTACTGTGCCTCCACTTGCTACTCTAACAGGACCCAGGCATGCCGTTCTATATAAAGCCAATGATTTGAGGGTTTCTTCCATAAACCCTAAGCTCAGACGGGATGAGGATGAGTAAAGCAAAAGCAGTTTCTGGTAGGCTGGAGAAGTAGACCTTCTGAATGGATTTCTTGTTTCTGTTCATCCACTTTGCTGCAGTGGTGGAAGCCCCACTCCCTCCCCAGAACAGTAATGGAGGAAAGCAAGAGCAGCCAAGAGGACCCTGGGAAAAGAAGGTAGTATCCACTGTAGAATGGAGGAAAGGAGTCAGCCAGGTAGCAGCTATGGGAGGAAAGAGACTGTCACCTCCACCATGGGACCTGTGTGCCAGTATGACTAACCTAAATGATGTTCCATACACAGCCTGGGCTCTTCTCCACAAGGCAAGAGATTTCCCAATACAGTGACTTCAACATTTCTCCATTTTGTGGAACCATAAAACTTCAAAATAATTTTGAGGTTGTTGATTTTTTTTTTTGTCAAGAAAAGACATTAAAAGAAATAACCATCTACTAAAACTACCACCTACGCTTCATTATAAATTAAGGAGGTATCTAAACCCCCTAATTATGAAGGACCTAATTATGTAAAAAAAAAAATGACAGGTCTTTAAATTAACCATGTAAAATACTTATTGCCCTTATTTTCTTCATTTAGCCATGACTGGGTGAAAGTTTTATCAAGGATGAGAACTGACCCTTCTTCAACTGGCGTTGGGTCCAATTCTGCCACTCCCCTTTCTGAACAGTTCTAAGATCCTGGATTTTCAAGGCTTTCCTTATCATCCTCGGTTCCCAACAAGCACCCTTCACTTTCAGCAGTGGGGGAGTCCTGGTTAGATAATTTTCATTCCCAATTCCATTTTCCCATGAAGTTAATTAAAATCCTTCTTTTTTTTTTTTTCTTATTCGAACCCTCTCTACCAATTCTTCCGAGTACCACTGAGTTTCCATGCCCCACCCCCCCAGGGCTGACTCGTCCACCAGGCACAGTGGACACACAGTCCGGTGTCCATGGAACTCACAGGGGCCCACAAAAATAGTTTAGTTCAAGTTATTTTAAAATCACAAAAAAACTAATCAAAATGAAGATGAGGAGGAGGAAGAGGATGATAATAAAAATATATAATAACAAATTTAGTGTGGATCACACTTATCTTCATACCAATATAGTCATAAAATATACATTTAAGTTTTTTGGTTGTGTTTTTATGGAGGAGGGGCCCATGAGGCAAAGGTGCCTGTGGCCTGTGAAAGCCATAATGGATCTGACCTACAGACTGTCCACTCCAGTGCTTGTATACCTCTCCTTTCTGAACTTCTAAGGCCCTCATGGTCAGGGTCTTAGGGGAGCTGTAGCTGTTTCCTATCTCTGCAACTAAGACAGATGGTCTTTGAACACACAATGAGGCTTGTTGCACAACCACCATTGTGCTCAGGTACATCCTAGCTTCACCATTTACTGTGTGACCTTGCTTAAAGTATGTGTGTGTGTGTGTGTGTGTGTGTGTGTGTGTGTATTTTAATTGTCAGTGGACTTTTATTTTGTTTATATATGGTGCTGAGAATCAAACCCAGGGCCGTACCCATGCTAGGCAAGTGCTATACCACTAAGCCACAACCCAGCCCTTGCCTAAAGTTTTTAACTTCTCTGTGCCTCATCTATAAAATGGGGACAATGTGTTCTACATAGCATAGGTTTGTTATAAAGACCAAAGGAGTGCAGAGTGATAGTCAATGGATGAACACTATTACTATTTTAATTAAAATATATTTAAATCAAACCCAGATTTGCAGAACTCAGCCAGGGCATTGGTCATCAAGAATTTCTGCAGATACAGAAAATTTCTTATTTATGCTTGATCCCAAGCAAGGGAGTTCAGTGAGCTCTTATTGTATGTTTCTAGGCTAATAAGCTATTCTATAAATATTGTAAATAGCAGTTGGGATAGAAGAGCACTATTTAATTTAAAGAAATAATGATGACCTTGTAGCTTATTTTATTACTTTTTTCTGCTAGCAAACAGACCAGAACACAATTTTTTTGATCACTAAATATTTTGAAACTTTTTTCAGGATGTGTTACTGAGTACATATTTCATTACTAATTTGAAGATGCAAATCTCGTGATGTTGGTATATATAGTGAAATCTGAGTACCTTCAATAATGTCTTGCAGATTCAATATAAGCCTTGTTTCGGTTATTTTATTCTTACTCTCACCTGTAGTGAACTTTTGCTTGGCAAAAATATAGAAAACTTTGCTGTGTTTTAGAGTTGGTTGTGCCTAATTTTTCCAAATGTCATTTGCTTATGAATCTCCAAATGAAACATACTATTTATGTTGTGGAGATAAAAATCACTGACATACAAAAAAAACTTGCTCTGCTCAGTAACTGTGCACATAAAACTAGCAGCCCTGACAACAGTTTGGAAATCAAATTAAAATCTACTGAGTAGCACTTTTCCAATCCTTTCTTCCTCTCCATGCCTTACTGCCAAGTTTGTTGCAGAGACCTCTATGTATTCTTTTTAAAAAAATATTATATTTTAATTGTAGTTGAATACAGTATCTTTATTTTTATGTGGTGCTAAGGATCGAACCCAGGGCCGTGCACATACTAGGCAAAAGCTCTACTGCTAAACCACAACCCCAGCCCTCAATGTATTCTTTATCTCTCTTCCCAATGATAAATTAGGAAGTCTAAAGATCACATGGTTAGGAATTCATGTCTTCATTTAAAAAAAATAATGATCCAGGACTACACATAAAATGCCCAAATTTACTAAGCCCTTAACCCCACTTTTTTATCTCCAGAAGATTGACAAGCTTTTGTGTGTGTGTGTGTGTGTGTGTGTGTGTGTGTGTGTGTGTGTATGGTGATTGAACCCAGGGCCCTGTGCACGCGAGGCAAGCACTCTACCAATTGAGCTATATCCCCAGCCCGACAAGATTCTTTTTGACCCAACAGGAAAACAGGATAACTGCACTTATATTTTCTTTCCCCTGCCTCCTCCCAATAAAGAAGTGAGCTTGTTCATCTGAATTCTGAAAAGAAACTCAGTACAGGGACCACCATTCTACTATTTTTATTTGAAATAACCATCTTATAGACTTGCAGGTCTCTTGACCTG